ACGCAACAAATCATTAAGGGTAAATAAATTCTTATTCGGTCATTTATAGCTGAATTTGTTGACCACATTGAATAAAACAACAGTACGTAGAGACATTGAACCTATAAGTTTTACAACTTTCGGTGAGATTATGGGACCGTGTCGAACGTAACTCGATCGTAAACCCTCGGAAGATCTGGCGGCGGCATGTCGCCGACTGTGCGACGCCTCGCGCCCGCCCTAGTCTAGAAACGAAGATCGGACAAAATAGGGCTGAATGTTACAGCTTGAATAAATATTGAAGCTCTCGGCAACGCGGTAAGGAGACGCTTTGAACAATATAATTTCTATCTGGCGCATTCAATATTATTAATACCTTAACTGAAACGTCCTAGAAAATTAACTAAGAGATTTGTGACGTTTGAATCTGACAGAGGGATCCTATAAGGGTTCCTTTTTTACCTTTTACGGTACTGAACACTGTAAAGAAATATAACAAGACCGCAGAGTTTCCTGCCGGTTCGTGTCTGTTCAGGTCTACTTTAGTGAAACGGTTTTAGTTTACAACGTTCAATAAGAGCTTAAATGAAGCATATATTGAATAAAGAATTGACTTTGACTTTGACATATTGACACATAGTGATGTGCACTGTGCACACAGATATCCAATTAGTTCGTCGCCTGCGAGCATGGAGCCAACATAGGGTGTAAACGAGCTACACCCGCGTTCGATGTCGTTCCTCACCTCTACCAGCTATCGATATAGAGTCAACAGCCATTATAGTCACGGTCCGTCCTGAACCTAGACATTCCCTCCGGCTATAAACTGTTGCACCAATGGGCAGTCCGGTAAGTAACAGGGTCTCACAGAAGACCTTGAAGAAGTTTTATACTTCTGCGTTTGGTCTGGTGAGTGAGGTAGACGGGGCCCACTTTAATAAAAGGTAGCATCTGCAACCCGGGTGGTGCAAATATCAATGGGAGGCGGACTCGGGAGGTATATCGGGGAAGTCCAAAATTAAATATATATATATATATATATATTATATATATATATAATAAAGTTTTGATTTTTTTCTAATAAAAATGTACTTGTTTTTGTTGTATATCAGGCGATTCACATCTTAAGTTCTTACAGTTGCACAATAGCCGCCTTTGAAAATGGTGGACCCGGGATACCTCACTTATCAAAGGAAATACTTGTGTAGTTTAAGAGAAACGTTCGGATACATATTTTCAATAAAGTGAAAACGAATGCAAAGTAAAACCTTGTTACTAAATGTGATTTATTCCAGATTATCTTTAGATGGACAACACATATTAAAACTATGGTCAAAAATGATAGGTACGTTACTTTTAGGATATTAATGCCTGAAGTGTTTACTCTGTTAAGCGTGTTTAATAGAAAAGGCTAACATTAGGCTCGGTTTATAATAGTGCATTAATAAGTAGATTAAAAAATGTTGCGCTTTGCGGACAATAGACATTATAAACATAAAAAAAAATTAGGTCGGACGGTGTAGAGCATGAGAATTAAACGAAGAGAACATTATACATAGAGCTGTATGTGAAGCCAAAAGTATAGCTACTTAATCTATATATGAACGAGAGTTGGGGTTGTCGTAAATAATGTTAATCAATAGTATAGAAAACACTCGTATCAGCTTTCAACAGTTACCTCCTTATAATGTTAGTTCTGTTTAAATTTTATACATTTTTGTGCAATTTTTTCATATAATAAATATCACACTTGATATTTTCATTATATTTTCTTTTCATTTCATTATTAATCAGAGGACATTACTACGATAAAAATATATGACAAATGATCATACAATAGTTTAATATGTTTTCGCATTAACCTGAGCAGCTTCATTAGGATTAACATTTTCTTTCCGGAGAAAAACTGAGAAACGGAATTACTACGGGTAAACTGAACAAAAAGTGACAAATAAATTACAAAACAATAAGGTAATTAACGATAAAATTAATGTCATTGTTTAAGGAGCGCTCGAGCGGGGTGCCCGATATTTTTATATCATTCTTGATATCAAGCAGCAACGGTTTGGATCAGAGCACAGTTTACCGCGGGTTATTTAGTTTTTGTAGACTATAATTTATTTTTTCCATGGTGTAAGCAATAATTTATCAACAACGTGAAACAATTGAATACACCAAGTAAGAGAGTAAGATTAAATTGTTGTTGTTTTGTACCTCTACTTTTCTTTCTATTTATATTCAGTGTGGCGAATGCACCCAGCAGCTTTTAAGTAATGACTAATAAGTATTTTCTTTTCATTGTAGACCATTACTATTTCGAGATTGTTAATCAAAAGACATTTGTTTTTATTTTGCTGGGCCCTTTTTATTTGTTTAGTTAAAAACTGATGGTTTTGTTTTGATAGCAAACATGAGTATTTATGTTTTTTTTATGTGAGGAAGTGGCAAACGATTTTAAGTGATAATCGCCGGCCCATGGAAATTTGCAACACCCGTAGGCTTGCAGATGCGTTGCCACCTCTTAATAATGTGGGCCCCGGCTACCTCACTCACCAGACGAAACGCAGAAGTGCAACACTTCTACTTACGTCGGTATTCTGTGAGGTCGTGATACTAACCCTGACGGACCTGCCCATTTGTGCAACAGCGAAAACTGTTGCGTGGCCCTACCACCGCAAATATTAATATATAAAGAAACGTATACATACATTTCCAGAACTAGGCCTGTCGTTTATATAGGTATCCCTCACTTAGTTCGATGCTATTGTACATAGACAATTTGAAGGAAATTGTCAGTGTTAAGTTGCATTTTTATTAATAAGTTATAGATTAATTGCATCCACGACTTAATAATAAAGTTTCATTGGAAGTTAGGTTTTTTTTGTATGCGAAATTCTTAGAAATTTCTTAGAAAAAATGAGTCGACAGGAAATACGAAGATTCTCCAATTCTTTATAACCTATTGAATACTACATAGAATAATTTTTTAAAACCAATAAAATAATCAATAAATTGTATTGCATATAAATGACGTGAAAATATTCTGAAAATAAAATAAAAATATTTTTTCTTTTGTAACAAATAAATAAGTTAAGAAATTGGCACAGAAAGTTACGTAGATAGAGTATTTTTGTTTTACGTACTTTAGGTTTCATATAAATTCTCTCCGTACAATATATTCATGAGATGCACTAATGTGGTATCGATGGGGAGTAAAATTTCTATTTTCAATTATTGCCTAATACTAGACTATAACCATTTTTCATCAGAGCTTATAATTATGTGACAAAGCCGTCGTATTTCATGTCTTTGAAAAACGAACACTAATTGGCATGAATCAGGCCAGAAGAACTAAATTATGTAATAGCGAATTCGTGAGATACCCGTTAGTCATTATATTTCTGATTAAATGTTTGTTTTTTGTTTTTTTTAAAGAAAGTATTGTTCATGGGTACACTGCATACATATTGAATTAAGAACAATTATTCTGAGTTAGAATTTAAGTCTAGGCATCTTTTTTTCTTGTAAATTAATGAAAGCAGAAGGTAATTGTTTCAACGGATGTATACTTGTCTCCTGAGTAGATATCTCATGCAAATAAAACTATGACAAAATCACCAGATATGTATAACTCGGCACACTGACGTATTTTCGGGTTTCAGACAATGATGTTATACAAAAATACGAGGTATTACACTAGCGCGCCGATATTGAGACACTCAAATTACGCTAATTGGTGTAACTAGTTTGCAATTCTCTAGACTGCTATCTCTTTCCGTATCATACGTTCTATATCATCTGTCACATTCACTTATATATGTCATATTATAATAGAAAACAGAACAATTTTTAAACGTCGCGCGGCATGGTCACGCGTTATCTTTATTAAAACATCATTGGTTACAGATATCAGTTTTTGATGGTTAGATCAGAACGGTTCAGCTAAGCGACTTTCTAATAAAACAGTTTACTTGTGCAATGTACGAGTAAACTATCTAGGTACTTATGTTTGCGAGCCAACGTTATTCAGTAGTATTAGGAACAATTTTTTTTCACGTATGATAGTAGCCCTTGGCAATGAAAACTAATGTTAAGTATGGAAAATTAAAAAATCCTTATTTTTATCCTCATTTTGCACTTCAAAATTTAATCTTTATATTAATAAAAAATTATAAAAATACTTAAATGTTTATGCGACTCAAATTTTCTTAAAAGTTATTTGTTATGAAAAGTTTCTTTTTTATAATTTAGCTGTTACAAAATCTATATATTCTTCTTACATTTCCCTTATGACAAAAACATAAATTAAGTAATATCTTCCGCATCTCTTGTCTTATTTTAAGCATGTAATAAACAGACGCAAGTGTAGGGCAAGTGGAGGCCGAAAAACATGAATGATGGCTGGAATCACGCCAAACCTTTTGGTAGTTGACTACAAAAGAAGAACATTTTTCAAATATTACTTTCCTTCACATTATAGAACGTTATTTACTTGATATGTTGTAATACTTTGAAAACGATAATTATTTTACTCAAAAGAAGCTTCACAGATTAATTCTTTCCTGGACCCACATTAGAAATTAGATGTAATAGTTTTATGCCTACTGCGGGGATAAAACTGTTACATCTAATTTCTAAGTAATACATTATTTATAAAAACTGTCAGAAATTTCAATGGCTTTGTATAAAACTTTGCGGATAACGGTCGCATTATCGTTTATTCGTTTAATATCGCTCTTGAAGTTTATTTGTTTAATAAAGACAAAATCATCTTTAAACGGTTCGGATCGTAGTGTCGTCATTCCATCATGCAATTTCGAATATAAAATTAATAGTTATATAGGCCCAAGGAATATTTTTTCCGCGGCAGCAACGCGCCGTTTAATTTATAACTTACTGCATTTCTCCGCATAAACATTAACTATGCCAAATCTCACACTCCTCAGTGCGCGCTATTTCCTTAAAAAGAGATCCAAAGTATTCATTTCACGTATTAATATATTACAGTAAGTAATACTTACCTATTATACTGAAGAAATTATTGTCCCGGGAACACGTAGAGTTTCTTGTTAGGTCACTGTGGAGATCGGGTAATGTTACTTCCTTCATAAGGACACTGCGAGTTTTCCGAGCTTCGTTTGCGGGAAAATGATGCAGGTGGCGGGGAAATCGTGAATGTGACCGGGACGTCCACCCCGCGCGCTAGTTGGCAGCACACTGGGTGGTTTTGGCACGGGAGGGTTTTATCAAGCTGACGACGTGCGTTACTGTGCTGCGACGGAATTCTATATTAAGGGTGCATGGCTTAGGAATTTCGAACTATTCGAGCGCCAATTCGCGTTCACTTAAGATTATGTTTGGGCATTATACATTAACTTCACATTATAGCAAAAACGTTTCAAAAATATTGAGGTGCAGATAAGTGCATGTCTGCATCTAAGTTAAGTACCTTCTCACGCTTTATCTTTTGATCACGTCTCTCATCTTCTCGAATGGTTCCCAATACGATTTCGAAGGAAGACTAGGATTTTATGATTTTAAGCTTCTTTTAAATAAATAAGTAATCCTCTACAGAGATTTTTTTGGCTCTAAAGAAATTGGTTGAAGTTCTTTAGATCAATATCTAAAGAAGTAGGTACTAACCGAGACTTACGTCGTATGTTTTTTCGAGCATTAGCTGCTTCAAACGTCTTAAATAAAAATGTACATGTAAGTAAATGTGTAAACTAAAGAGAATATCATCAAATAAGGGTAAAAATTAAAAAAAACTGCTGGGCAAAAGCCCCTCCTCTGTGCAAAGTTTATTAGGACATACTCCACTACGCAACCCCACTGCGTATTGGTGGACTTCACATATATAAATAAAATATGCAGGTTTTCAAGAAGTTTTCCTTCATCGCTGTTTTCATATCACGATGTTTTCCTTCACCGCTGAGCATATGATAAGTCAGCCCCTAAAATAAAAAAATTCATAGGTGCAGGCACCGGGAATCGAACTCAGGTTGCTCGAGTATATTAAATTAAAGTCCCGGACACTGAGTTATTACCTTTTTAATTTATTTTACAGATTATTCATTAAAGAAAATAGATTTTTTTTTTGAAGCGAACTTGTCGTTAATACGGGGCATGAAAATGTAATTAAACTTAAACAATGAATTAAAATTTGATTATTTATTATTATTTCGTAATGCGTAGAACAGATTTTTAACCAGTGTTTACATACACAGGTAAATAATAATAAAGGTGGTTCATGATCGCGCTTCATGCTAGTCTTCTAGTTCATGGTTCTTCAGTTCAGACGATGAAGTAGGCAATACTTATCATGTGATACAATGGAGTAAGCAGAGACTACATAGTTTCATTATCCACATTGTGACCATACTATATAACGTTTTTTTTTAATTGCTACTTCTACTAACTTACTAACATCCTTTAGGATAACATTATCCTGTGTCGTAAGAACGTTCTACAATTTCACGCGGACAAACAACCAGATGCGAAACAACTATCTGTGGGTCACACAAATAGTTCTCATGTGGACGAACCCATGACCCCCGACGCCGAATCCAATACCTTGGCAACTGCGCCACGGAGATTGCCTTCAACTTACGTATGACTGTAAGTATTTATGCCGCGTAAAATTTACCACCGGTTACCAAAGATGTAACCCAGCTGATGGATTATTTTTATTTGGCACTTCACAAATTAGGATATATTGTCCTCCACTGTTGAAGTAATTGCGGATTGTAACACCTGAAAAAAATATTTCTTGACAAAACAACCATTCCTTTTGACACCAGCTTACTAGTTGTGTACTAGGTACATTATAGACAAAACTCATTCTTTGTAGAGTTCCTCAATCGTTCAACAGATATCTTGAGGAGTTAAACGTTGATATTTTTAGGCAAAAAACTACCAATGTAAATAAGTTTCTGGCTAAACATTGGTTCGATTAAATTATCTGACTTATGGAACTTATTCATTTGTCATCATTATTATTGTACTCTTTCTCTTTTTTTCTTAACGAATTTTTTATTTAAATGTTATTTTCGAAACATTTTTTGTTATTAATTCGAAAATATGCAGGTTTCCTCGCGATGTTTTAAACTTAACAATTTCTTTTGTGCCTGGATTTGAACTCAACATGAGTTCGAGTATGTTGAATTAAAAGCGGAGGCCCGCACAGTGTATTTATATCCTGTATTAGCATGGTTATTGGATGTTTGTACCGACAGACAAAAAAACAAGGGAAAAAACGAATACTTAACAATGAATTGAATAACCAATGCTCGAGTATAGAGACATTGTGTTGTCACTGCCCAATAAAAGGTTTATGAATTCGAGAACGCATAAGTTTATCTTGAGTAATAATTTTGCGGCCAATTTATTATCTAGTTATTATTTGAACAATAGCCTACTAACTATTGTTGTATTGTGTTTCGTGATATTGATAATTCCAATACAAAGCAACGAGCGTCTAATACACGTGCAAACTCACGTCACGTACATTTCGGCTCTCGTGATATGTAGAGAACGGCTCGACTAAAATTTTTAAGAAAACTGGCGTACCAAACTCTATTGTCTTTTATTCATTATTTTAACTTTTCATTCGTTACATTTTACCGTATTTGTTTAAAGGGCAATTTTTATACATAACTGTGTTATTATACTTAAACATCTTGCTTTTCCGGCTTCGTTTGTGTTTGAACCTATAGAAAAATCGTTTCTTATTAGATTGAGCGAGTATTTATGCGAATAACTCTATTTCAAAGCTTTTCAACCATTTGAATATTTATTAGGTATATATATATACGTAGTGTAGTGGATCGCCATTGTAGATACATATTTGGTGCAGTAACTAAGCAATAGACGGGGATATTACTTGCTAAGGATCCGATTTACGGACGGAATAAATATTTTTTCGTTTTACTCTTTAAATATATCTCTAGTTCTAAGTTAAAAGAAGATATAACTTGCACGTTAGTTGTTTTGTCCGCGAGAAAATTTATGTTTGTAAAACAACACAGTATGATGTTATCCTAAAGGGCATGATGTTATCCTAAAGGGCAATATTTTTTTTTTAAAAAGAAAGAAAAGAATCTTAAAAAGATGTCAGTGTTTTGTTTATCTCATATATAATACAATATGGATATATACCTCGTATGGGTATACCTTGTAATGTGTGTATAAACTACGGTTATGAAATTATTGATGGAAAGGCGGCATTTATATTCGGAGTCCGGAACTAATCGTTCCAGAGTTCATACAATAATATACTCTATTACTAATAGTTTTATCGCTATGGAAGAGAAAATACGAAGAGATAGAAGTATTACTACTCTATCTTCGTTTGTGAGGTAGCAGCTAGCTAGTAATTCTCTTAAAGGTCAAAGCCTTCGAACATTCGGAAACCAGTCACAATCAGACTTAATTACCACTTTTATCGCCAAATTACAACATTAGTTTAAAAAACATGTCTATATTTTTGCGATTAAATAAATTAAACTCTTGAGCGAGAGCGTTTACCGTTTGCGCCAGCGTCGCCACTTACCATTAGGTGAGAAGTAAAACATTTGGCAGCCTCTCATAAAAATTACTAAGGATAATTACAAAAATTATTTTTTATTATATTTTTAGTTATATTTGATATATATGGCTGTTTTTGTAATTCGTTTTAATTTTACGAATTTTTGTTTGACTGTAACTATTTCATTATTAGAATAATCCGATAAAATTAAAAGTATAACAATAGGAAATATAAAACGCCGATGTAAGAGAAGAATGTATTTTTAGTGATAAAATTTACAAATCATATTTTACATAAAGTATATACGCCCCTATTGTAAAAATTACAATAAATTCGAAACAAAATTTACTTGCATTATAAATTATACGTAAAATTAAGTAAAAAAAAAGACTTAATCTACTCTAAAGAAAAATAAATCGTATAATTTTCTAGTGACTCTGTTAACTAGACGATATTGCACTAAGACTCAAATTTTCGGAAGCTTCTACAAAATAAAACTTCCAGTTTTTTTTGGTGCAAAGCTTGGTGAAAGCATAATCGTATATCATCATATGCATCAAACAACATCAAATGTAATTTACGACGCCACAAATCGCTTAATATTAACATTAGTGATGTAACGAAGATCTATTAGGTCGTTCACACAAGAACTATACCTGATAATTTATAAATGGTATATCTTATGTTGGTATGATTATGTTTTAAACTCATTTAATTAATAAACCAATCATTAATATTAATCCCTTTCATTATATTGAATGCATTAAATGTTCGTCACATCACTACAATCTATCGGCTACAGGATAACATTTATACTTTAACGACTAAGTCAAATCGTCAAACAACACTCAACAGTATTTTTATATGTTAAGCAAATATATATAAGATGGAAAAGTCTCGTGATTACCTACATAAAGTGTAGATTAGTGAAAATTAAGAAAAAGAACCTTCACCAACCGTCAATAATGTATCCTGGTTTTTTTCCATTTTCACTAAAACAGATTAAAAATATTTACTACACTAAAAAAAGGTTAGTATTACATAGACAATGTAGTGTTTTTAAACAAGTCTTATAAGTTTTAACCATTTAAGATTAAAAGAATTGATATGGGAAAAAACTTAGATATTCTATTACATAGAATTATAACATACAATGATGACTTAAATGACAATATTTCGAGTGAGTTACAATATCAATGTCTTATATTAAGGATAAAGTTTTTCTATTTAAGCTGAATCATATTAATTATATCGTAGTGGAACGAACTGTTTTACATGCTGAAATCTTCACTGTGTTAATTACATTTTTCATGCATAAAAGAAAATGGCAATGAAATTCAAAATAAAGTAGAAATACTTCAAGTATCAGCAAATATTGATATTAATATTGCATATTTCCAGCTTTCTATCAAACATGTTTCACTAAGAACAGTAAATACTTAAGTACCAAATGGCGTTCTAGATAACTTTTGAATATAACACACAGCAGAGTACAGCCCATAATTGGCTTAACACCTAGAAAAGGTAAATTCTAAAAAAATAATTTTACATGTCTTTTAATTAACTATGATATAAGAATTTGTACGAAGTGTACATATTACAGAAAATAAATTTACCATAACTATGAAACAACACTTTCGCTTAGTAAAACATTAAGCAAATTGCAAACAGGCGCATCAAAATGCACGAAAGAACGAAGATAACTTTTTTAAATATATATTGTACAGCTTTTCATTAAAATTATATTAATTGAAAATAATATAACTTATTATGATATATGCCAATTGCATTATTCGATTGAAGCAAACTTTGCATACAGTACACAGGTCTTTTTCAATTCAACTCAGAATGACAAAAGACGACTCAGAGCTTCGGTTAACATCGGCATTCTGGATCCGTCAGCCTACATAAACGCACAGTATACGAATTTTTAACACACTCTAAAATAAATAGGTCAATAGAATTTGTGAATGAGAGAGCGGCGTGTCTGCTTAGTAAAAGAAAAGAAGTCTCTCCTGGGCCGTGCCAGAGAGCAGACGCCAGCCGCGTTTGATGTTCAGGTATTGAATGACGGCGCGCACGCAGATCAAAATACCTGCGAAAGAAATACATATTAAGTCAGATTATATGTAGTATTGTACTTAATTGTTTTTAAGCCTCTGTCCCGGGAGCATGAACACTGGAAAGGTCGTTCGAAACGTCGGGAATTAAAAATTAAAAATCTTTCACGGTGGTAGGGCCACGCAGCAGCCTCGGCTGTTGCACGAATGGGCAGGCTCGTCCGGGTAAGTACCACGACCTCACAGAAGACAGGCGTAAAGTGGAAGTATAATAACTTTCGCATTGCGTCTGGTGAGTGAGGTGGCTGGAGCCCAATTTTCAAAAGGTTATCAATGCATCTAGAACCCACGGGTGTATGAGATGTCCATCAGCGGCGGTATTTACTTAACATCAGGTGAACCTTCGGCTCCCTTGGCAACTTTTCACATTAAAAAAAACCTGAGAAGCGATAGAATCTGTAAAATAGTTCCATTTAACCATTTAAGTGTAGTACATCCATAAAATACTAACAATGAAGAATATAATGACGAAATTAGTAGTATCAGTGACCGAATTAGCACATAAAGTACAAAGAAAACGCAAGTTTGAAACTATTATATTAAATACATATTGGTGATGCATTTTTTAATTTACTTCAATATGCTCACCGAAAGCCATGATAAGCCACCACAGCCAGGAGTTCTCATGGGAAGCAAGCTCGGTGGAATGCTTAACAATGAGGGTCCACTTGGCCAGCGAGAGGCCGAAACCAGCTAGGGCTCCGTAGCGACTGGCAACGGTGTGGCAGAAGCACATCAGCAGCAGAAAGCCAATCCAGTTGAACAGGAATGCCACTGGAATGTAAGTATTAAGGTAAATAGTAAAAAATAACTAAAGGCAATGAAAGCAACAAATAAATTAGCTATAAAAAAATAATTAAATGTCATATTAGAAAATGAGTTTCTATAGTGGGAAGTATGCAGTTTATTGAATGTCATATTTCATTATAAATGAGAAAAATGGCATAAATTAAAAGGTAAGTCTCATTAAACTGTTTGGTGCAATAAACAAATTGCGAAAAGAATACACAGAAAACTTATGAAAATAATTTAGCAGTAAAAGCTCTTTTTATAGAAAGGCAAACAACAGTTTATAATGAATACAACAAAATTACCAAAGAAAGAAGTCAGGAACATAACATCGGTTCCCAGGAGGTTGTTCTCTGGATCAAGCTGCTCTACAGTCCCCTCAGTAGACTCCACAGTCACAAAGGCTGTGAAAGTAGGATGGCGCGGAGGTGGAGCTTGTGCCTATGGAATATCAATAGTTAATGTTTAATCTTGTAACCAATAAACTCATTATTATTATTATTGGGGGGTATTCATTTGTTTTCTCGTCTAGTTGGGTTTATAAATAAAAATATAGATATATATTGCATATATAAAATAAATATTATTGTATATATATATATATATATAAATATTTTATATAATACATATATAAATAGGACCCTTATTATTATTATTATTAATCTGCCTTGCTTAAAAAGTGAATTCTTAGGAGCTTATATCTTTTTTACTTGTTAAACACTCTCTTGTGATTGACTAAGTTATGCTTTTTCTAGATCCTATGCTAGTAGAGTCCCAGAAGTTGACGTGCATGCATATCAGAGAGGGGAGTCCTGTATACTCGTATGTTAACCGAGAAACTAGAAAGCTGACAAGTATGTTAATTGTTGGCTGAGAGTAGAGACTTTTCAACACAGAATTACATACTTGTAATGTAAGGTTGAACTTTTGGGTGTTGTATGATTACATTATGAGTGTGTGTGCATAGTGTTTTCTGGATCCGACCAGTTTTCCCGACCCAGCAGATATTCGTCTTTGTTGGGTCGGGAATGCCTTTGTGCCCTAAGTTGTCGATGACAACTTAGGGCACAATAATCATAAAAAATTATTAACGTTAAAAAAATTCCATAATTTAAAAAAAAATTTGTCAAATAAACTAATTAAGTAAAAAAGAAACAAAATTTGTAACATCCTATACAACTACAATTGACTGATTCATACATTCAGAGACTTTTTCCTTTGTTGCCACAGTGTCGCATTACTAGCCTCTCCTTCTAACAGTATGTTTTGTCTCTTTTAAATTCATTCAACCCATTCATATGCTTTGAGACCTATACAAATGAACTTTACCTTACAGTTTTATACATAAGGGTGTTCTAAAATTCTTTGTTTTGGAAATTTTAATAACTCGGTAAATATTGATGTTTAAAGAATGTAAATGTTTAATATAATTTAAAAAATTTATCCTCTATATGTGTGTTCATTTATTGTCGCGATTGTACAAACACGCTGTATTTAGAGGCTAATCTTTCCCAGCAGTGATCCCATAGCAATTGCTGAGAGAAGTATTCCAGTGATGCTACCTGTTACAGGGCCAAGCAACACCTTGCTGTTGCACAAATGGGCAGGTTTGTGGGAAATACCATGAAATCATTAAAGACCGGCTTGAAGTGAAAGTATTATATTTCTGCATTTCTACCTGTTGATTGTGGTAGCCGGGCCAACTTTGTTAAAAGGTGGCAATGCATCTGCAACCCTACGGGTGTTGAAAACGTCCATGGGAGGCGGGTATCGCTTAACTTCAGGTGAAACGCCACCTCACTTGTCACATTCTGATATAAAAAGAAAAAAAAAAAGAAAAAAACATTAGTCTAGTATTAAAACTGCATTAACAAACAATCAAGTGACAGATTTAGATCTTTCATCTACTGTATCTCTCTAGATCTATGACTCCGTGGTAAAGTTGCAAATGTATTAACTTTTGGCCATGAGTTGTCGGTTTGATTCATGAGCCAACTATTTGTAGAGCCCATAGATAATTATTTAGATATGGATATTCATGTGAGATTTATGTATATGAAACATTCTTACACAACATTCTTAACAACACACACACACACACACACACACACACACACAGGATAATGTTATCCTACAGTAGGGGGGCAGTGTTTTGAAGTGAAGACTGCAATACATCTTTCTAGGTTGCAGTGGACCTGAGACCTTACTACCCAAACCCTTTCACACAAAATACAAATACAAATTCTCTCTAGGTCTATATCATATAGTTTAAAGCACACCTTGTTCATCACTTTAGATGTGGTTATAATGTGTTGAACACCAAATAACAATGTTTGTATAAAATAAATAAAAAAATATAACAGATAATACTAATACTTCAGAATAATTCAAAAAACTGTGCAAAATCACCTGAGGTTCTCCCTCCCCCTCCATCTGTTTTTCACGCTGCACCTCCTCATATGTTGGCAGCTTTGAGTTTGCAGCAACATCATATGGTGGGGGAGCAGAGAAATCAGCTTGTGGTGGGGGTATGTCAGTGGTGTCTGAAATAGATTTCTTATTTGAATAAAACAAAAAAAATTAATTATATAGCAAAACTTAAGCAGTCTATTTTTTTTCCCAGTGTACACAAATTGATATTTTAAAAACCCTCATCTATTGTATAATAATATATTGTGTTAACAAAACACCTGCCTCCCAAGTTGAATAACTTTTTACATAAGCACATACATACATTTAACATAGCATATACATGAAACCCTAATCAATATAAATATTTACATTAGCTGATGACTAGTCTTCCTGAATGGACATATGATGGTAATGATAATATTTAAGATAGGTGCTCTGTTCCTGATAGCTATCATTATCATTGATGCAAGGAAAATTATCGATATTTTCCTATTTAGAGGCTGTACACTTATCAACGTTATCTATGCTTGTACCAATAAATAGCGATGTGGGAAAATAAGATAAGAATGTCTCACTTACTTATTATATCAATAAACTGCGGGGGCATGTTTGGCTCTATGGTTGACGGTATGATCACCCTCAGGGTGCCCGGAGGGCAAACAGCTTCGACTCGAGAGTGGCTCTGCAACAATCGATCGCATATTTTTACTGAACACTTTCGCACACCGCGACACACGCAAACAAGTTACATAAATAAACAACTGGAACTTTGTCATCGACCACATACCATGTTTCGAATCATATTACTACTGCCCAAGAGCCGTGCCTGTTTAAACTGTAAAGTCTGCAATACGAATGCAATCCGATTAAATAGTTAAGACGTCAATCTAACTTTTCGACATCCTAGGGTTGAGGGATATTTTTCTGAATATTTTTCAAGTTACAATTCCTCAACAGTATCAATACCACCCAAGGACAACTGAATTATTACAGATAATAAATTGTACCGATTCACAGACAAAATAAGTACTTAAATATTAATAGGAGTTTTATTGTGACGACTAGGCGTGCTATTCTAAGGTCGGAAGAGGTCCGACTTGAGCAGAAGACCCACAGATGGACTAAGGAGAGGGAAACGAAGCTAAATCATGATAACAAAATGAGGCCGTTTGCCCCGCTGCAACTAAGCGACCCTAAAGACGAATGTAACTGTGAGGTGTGAGGTCACGCACGACAGACAACTCAATCATATAGCCTCTAAAGAAGAACTCACACGGCCCCGCCCAGTGCGCCCAGTACTAAGCGTAGTGGTACTGTATCGGCGTCGACCATCAACTTATTTACGCCCACAAACTACTAAGATTTCGCCTCTATTGCACTGTCATTGCGAAGAAACATTGTCGAGCGGCAGTGGGAGAAATGAGAATTAAATTGTTTAACACATATTAATTCGTTGTCAGGATCGTCTAAATCAGGTATCTGTGATGGCCACGGCCGATAAACATTTTAGACGATCCCAACGACGAATATAAATGTTATTTTTTAGAAGCGTACTATACCTCACAGATAAAAATATAATATAGACCCATTTAAAAAGAATTAAAATTTAAAGCTATAAGCATATGGTAATATTTTCAAGAAAACGTCAATCAAAGCGAAACGTCAATCAATATTCAATACCTTATTACTCAAACTCAATAAACAAATATTAATTTATTTGACTCCTTACATCGGAATTATTTTAATGAAAGCTCGTTAGTTGGACACCTATCACAATGAAGACTGCTTTGATGGTGGCTGAGAAACCCTCGTTAGCACAAAATCTGGCTAATATTCTCAGCAATGGAAAATGTAGTACCATAAAGGGTTAGTTTGCCGACTTTTATTAGTTCACTACATGTATGATTAACTAGAGATATGATTATGTACCGTAAACTAAATTTACTCTGTTGTAGGTTCTAATGGAGCCTGTTCTGTTCATGAATGGAATGGAACCTTTAAAAATGAATCGGTTCGTTTCAAAATGACTTCCGTTTGTGGGCATGTGATGACATTGGATTTCACAGGAAGATATAATAATTGGGACAAAGTGGATCCTGTAGAGTTATTTTCTTGCCCTACCGAGAAAAAAGAAGCAACGCCTCGGCTTAAAATGCCTGCCTTTTTGGCTCAAGAAGCCAGAGGTTGTGACTACCTTATATTATGGCTGGATTGTGATAAAGAGGGTGAAAATATTTGCTTCGAGGTAAGACATTAAATAATGATGTTAATGTTAAAAAAATGTGGAGTAACAGCCTATGTCCTACTGCTGTGCAAAGGCCTCTGTACAGAGGGTATTATGGAATAGTCCACCATGCGACCTCGCTATGGATAATTGGACTTCATTAATAAACAAAAATATGCAGGTTACATCACAATGTTATTCTTCACCGCTGAGCATGTGGTTAGTCATAATTTATAATTGCAATTAATAATTTTAATAATCCAGGCACCAGGGTTGCTCTAGTATATTGAATAAAAAGTGGGCACCATGATACTGAGCTATCACGTTGTTATAAGTTATAATATAATCTATATGTATATATAAGAGATTTCCACCGCTAATTGACTCACCACAATATCTCTTGAACCATGAGGCGTAGAGACTTGAAATTTGGTAGGAATATTCCTTTCGTTGAGTAGAAGTCAGCTAAGAACAGATTTTTACGAAATGTTAGGTCCATAGTATATAATCAAACAAAAACTTGATTGGTGTCTTGGTTCAGAGAGTGTGGGTTCAATTTCCACAAGTGGAAAAAATATTTTACTACTCCTTTCTTTTATAATATCTCAAATATTTTGTTCATTTATAAATATGACTCACAGATTAAATATTTCCTTATTACTCTTAATTTACTCTTTGTAAAACACCTGATTTATGGCAAAGATTAAAAATTTTGTTACACATTATTCTGTTGATAATGGCTTTATTTTGGTATTTATTTCTTTTGTCCTGTAATATTATTGGGGCTTTCAACTAATAATTCCACAAACAATGATTCCATATTTTTGTGAACAGTCCAAATACATTGCTCTATTCAATTGCATATTTTTTGAATCTCCTATAAACAATAAGCACTATTACATGTTTGTGCCCAGGGTCGAAGTCACCACTATTACTGTATTTTTGACGTTAAATTCATCTGATTAGCGCTGTTAACTTATGTTATAAAATATTCAGTTTTCAAAGTTAAGGCTTCAGTTATAATCATTTCATTTTCAGGTGATGAGTTGTGTTCAACCTTATATGAAGGGTGATGTGACTTCACCATTAGTGACATTTCGAGCACATTTTTCTGCCATTACTGACAAAGATATTAAGGCAGCCATGTTAAATTTAGTAAGGCCTAATGAGAATGAGTCAAGAAGTGTAGATGCGCGTCAAGAGTTGGACCTGCGTATAGGATGCTCTTTCACACGCTTTCAAACGAAATATTTCCAAGGTTTTTTCAATCCCATGAAAATATATATTTATGGATTTTTATTTATTAACTTTTTTTAAATGTGATGTTGGTTAAAATGAATATAATAAAAGCAGACAATTTTTAAGGCTTGCTTTAAATACGATAAAAAATCATTCATATTAACTCTATTATTATTCCCATTCTAGGCAGGTATGGTAACCTGGACGCATCCCTGATTTCATATGGTCCATGTCAAACTCCAACCCTGGGATTCTGTGTGCAGCGTCACGACGATATTCAGACTTTTAAACCAGAAACCTTCTGGGTTCTGCGTGTGACCGCGAGCACTTCCGAGGGTCGGGAACTGCCATTGGAGTGGAAGAGAGTGAGATGTTTTGAGAAAGAAATTGCAAACATGTTTCTCCATTGCATAAAGGAGATAAAGGAAGCCACGTGAGTATCATTAGGTTATATAACTTTAAATAATTCTCTTTTTTACAATTTAATATGGGCAATTTTTTAAAACTCTATTCTTACAGAGTTGTAAACATCCAAGCAAAGGAGAAGGTGAAATCCAGACCTGTTGCTTTGAATACAGTGGAGTTGATGAGAGTTGCCAGCTCTGGGCTTGGTATGGGACCGTACCATGCCATGCAGGTACAAGAAAATTTTTGTTATTTAAATTGATCTCTTTCAATACTAGTCCTATCCTAATGCCCTGCGATATAAAGGTAATTGGAAACGATTAATAGCAATTATCACATTATGGATAATTCTGATTTAGTTAGTCAAAAAAGGCAGACGAAAGAACGCGCGAAGTAAGATGCCTGAGCCACCTGCATCCATCGACTTCCCATACATTGGCACAGTGTTTGTGTAGGATGACCCCCATCTAGCTAAAATATATATAATCTAATAAAATATAATAAATGCTATAAATCTAGATTAAGTTTTCAACCCATTGTCAACAAACATTGTATATAGACCACTGAAATGACAATAACACTATAAACATTACCTCTTCTGTGAATACCAATCCGGTGGTCTGTTCGGTTCACCGACGGTTTTGAATGCGCGCGACACCGACATCCAATTCTGATCACCACTTCTTACCACTGCTGAAGCCAGGCACAACTGCGAAGAAAAGCTTGTCGACTGATTGAAATAATTACTGATTGTTTAAATGACTTGATCATAATTTTTATCATTTGCTTCCAATCACGTAATTGCAATTGATACCGACTTTAAATGAACTTGTACATAATCAATGGCTTCTGATTTGATACAAAAATTTGAGCCAAGTTGACAACTGATCATCTAGAAGGCACTTAGAATTAATTGAAATAAATTAACAACATAAATTCATTACATTGTTTTTTTTTTACTTCTACAAAGTTTGTCATTAAGTTTGTTTGCTACTCAATAACTTTTAACACAAATTGTGTATGACCAGAATATAAAGTTACACTAGATGAGACATTATAATAAATAATAATTATATTTTATGCCATTGTTTGGCAAAAGAGTTCTATGTTCAATGTGAGTTACAATATCTACCTAACATTGACCTCCAAAATAGCAAGTAACTAATTAAAATTGTAATGTACAATTCCAAGATTTGAGATAAGTCTGTGACTAAAGCGTTGCTTTAAGGGGTTTCAATATCATATAACTTATATATTCCATTTTCATTAGATAGCAGAACGTCTCTACACTCAAGGCTACATTTCTTACCCCCGTACGGAGACTACGAATTATCCAGAGAATTTTGATTTGATGTAAGTATACGCTTTGTATTATATCATTTGTTAAAGACATATAAGAGTGTCCAGACAATTAAGAATGCGAAGCTCGGAAGAAGAATTCTAAATCGGTCTAGCGGTATCACCGCACTGTAAATTGCTTTCTCTCTTGCTTGGTGTTCATCTACTTACAACGCAAGGATATGGTTTTTGATATTTGGTAAATAATGGTGGCAACTCATCTGTTACCCGCAGGGTATTGCAATGTCAATGGGCAGCGGTTATATTAAAATGAGGTGAACTGCCAGCTCGTTTGCCACCTTCTCACATAAAAAACAAACTCATCTCTCGCCCCACCGCGATCAGATAGTTAAGATGTTTGTGATTAACTCCGCCCATGGAGATAAACCACCTGAAGGGTTGCAGATACGTTGTCAACATTTAAACCGGTGGGTCCTGTGTACCTCACTCCGGCGAGTGAGGTAAAAGGAAACTCAAGTAAATATTACGTTTTCTTCACGTTGTCACAGCTACATCTCTTGTGAGGCCATGTTGTTGACTTATACGTGCCACAGAAGAAGTTTATGCGCGGCTCTATCGCGAAAAGTCCTTGATGCCGTTATGACTTTCGCAGTGTTTCCCAAGGAGGATTTACGTCAGGCAGGCGGCCGGACGTAAAAACATATCCCAAAATCGCTTACAACATGATTCAGATGGTGTACCCACCCAACCTCCTCAACCTCTCAAAAACCGGCCAAGTGCGAGTCGGCCTCGCGCACGAACGGTTCCGTAACATTATCTATAAAGACGGAAAAATCATGTCTGTTGTATGGGAGCTCCATTTAAATATCCTTTTATTCTGTTTTTTAGTATTTGTTGTTATAGCGGCATCATCTCTGAAAATTTCAACTGTCTAACTATCACGGTTCATGAGATACAGCATGGTGACAGATGGACAGACAGACAGCGGAGTCTTAGTCATAGGGTCCCGTTTTACTTTTCGTCAACTTCTTCGTAACTCGTACTTCGTTCGGTAAACTTTTGCAAAGTTTCAATTCAACCGGATGAAGAACAAACACCACATTGAAAATACGCCGCGCTATTCCACTGTAGGGGAACTCTTCGCCAGCAGCAGGGCTCCAACAAATGGGGCGCCGAGGTCCGCGCCCTGATCGCGAACGGCATCAACAAACCGAAGAAGGGTCGTGACGTCGGTGACCATCCCCCCATCACGCCCATGAGGCATGCCTGTGAGTGTTCCCTCATTTCTTCTATTTTTTTTTTTAATCTTTATTTGACACCCCCATTTAATAACCCCAACAGTATTAACTTAACCTACTAGTACGTAACAGTAATACAAAAATTCTATCATTTGTTCTAGAAATTTTATTAGCACGCGCGGAGACGTGTGAGACCGGGGGGGGGGGGGGGGGGGGAGTTAAGTGACAATGTTACCATATTCATAATAAAAACGTCTTTATTGTATTCCGTGTGTAAATAATTAGTACTGATTTGTTTTAACAGGTTACTCTACTGTTACTGTTATAGTTCGTACATAATTTTTATTTTATCAAATCGACTTTTGTAGAAACAAAACTAATGGTACACGTATTTTATATAATTTTAAATATTTTTTTTTTTTTATAAATTATCCATGGACAGTGATAATTAATTAACATAGGGTGAACCATTTGCAAGCTTGACAACATTTCACATAAAAGAAACGTTGGTAATGATGACAACAATCCTACACCCTCACAATATTCACCATAAAAATAATGTTGTTGGTAATCGATGACGCGACATTTCACATTAAAAAAAAAGGTTGTTGTTAATGTTGACCATGAAACAGCGGAGTCGGAGCTTGAAGGCGATATGTGGCGAATATACGACTACGTCACTCGTCACTTCATCGCGACTTTGTCGCGCGACTGCCGCTACACGTGCACCACGATCACGTTCAACATCGGCACGGAGACCTTCTCCTATTCGGGGAACACCCTAGTGGACGCCGGGTACACGGAGATCATGCACTGGCAGGTGAGCTGGTGAGCTGGACCCACGGGTGCCAACTGTGGAATTTTCTTCCTAGATTCAGGAAGAAAAAAGTTTTTTTAGGAGGTTAATGTAGACCAAAACTGAAAACCAACGTAACTAAACTTTTGTTTTGAACCTAGTGAATTTTAGCGGATGCAAGTGGGTTTTTGAATTGCTTTAGGAGTATTTTTTTGAACAGTTGGTAGCACTCTGCTTGGATCACTCTTCGTGAATCCTTGTTAATGTCTCATGATTTGTTGATTCATTGATGGATTTAAGTTAGGTCAGAAGTAGCTGACAATTCGACATCGAGAGATGCTTTTTAATATAGTCCGATAAGTTACGGCCGGTTTCAATATTCTATCTATCTGTAGATGTGGTCACTAGCGATGGGTATTTGATGTTAGTTCCTTAATAGTTACGTCAAAATTCTATCTTCGGTAAACAAATCACAGATAGATAGGATGCTGAAACCGGTCGTAATGTTTTATTAAGGATATTTTTGAGGTTATTAAAGTCTTAGGCTTAATGCGAGCCGTGATAGCTAGGTTCGAGCGCTTGCTTTAAGTTCTTTATACTCCAGCAACCTGAGTTCAAAACCGGGTGTCAATGAAATTATTACTACCATACATAAATTATGATGTAAAATTTGTTTGCAAAATGTAAAATTGTATACCATACATAAGAGCGCGCAAGCCTCTATTTGAATCGTATTATTTTAATTATATTAAATATATTTTTGATTTTGATAATAAAAATATATTTAATATTTTTGATTTTGATAATACTATCAAAAATTTAATTTTTGCTCCAATATATGGAAACAATTTCAAAGTTTGTCTCCTTACAACAACAACTTAAATTTTTTAATAACACATAATAACGTAAAAATTAAACGCAAAGAAATCCGTAAATTAGTTTTGGTTAATATAAAATATTTGTTTTACTATTGTATTCGCGTAAACACAAGAAATCATACACGTGTTTATATCTGTTCTAGGCGCTAGGAAAAGATGAGTTTCTTCCAGTTCTCAACGTGGACGATGTATTGAAGGCGCACGACCATAGACTGGTCGAGTGTCAGACCTCCCCGCCGGATTACCTCACAGAGTCTGAGGTAATGTACCCTTGCATCAGCCATTATTTGCCCATCATTTTTTCAATATTTTTTATTTTTTTTCTATTTTTTCCATTGTTACTGTATTTTAAGTTTAATGTTCATATTATTATAATGTACGTATTTCACCTTTAGTTTTGTAACATTTTTTTATGTTGTGTCTCTACTGTCTGCTAAAAAGTAGTTTTTACCTATAAATAAGGTCCAACTCATCACTTTTTTCTGAACCTCGTTTATTTATTCTATTACGGCGTGTAATTTGCTGGTGATGAATAAATAATAAACCACCTAAAAAACTTACAACACAGGATATGTGTGTCAGTTACTTATCCTGTGCTGTATCCATTAAGCCCGCCGTTTGTACTAGTTAGTACAAAAAAGTGTGCGAAATAAATAAAATAAGGTTGGTAACAGTTTTTTATGGGAGAAAAAAAATTGCAGGTGATCACGCTGATGGAGAAGCACGGTATAGGCACGGACGCATCCATCCCGGTGCACATAAACAACATATGCCAGAGGAACTATGTATCTATTGGCAGCGGTCGACGGCTGGTGCCAACCAATCTCGGCATAGTACTCGTCCACGGATACCAGAAGGTTACTCATATAACTAAACATAGTATATTATCAGCAGTGGACTCTAACAGGCCGAAATGATGATGATTATAGTGAAGTGTTATTGAGGATGTATGCGATAGGTCAAATGTCAAAATAATTGCTCTTTGCCGTGTAACTAACCGATAAATTGGTGTCTCAACGTTTGCATAAACCCTTCGTCTTTGCAAACCATGATTTTGTAACAGATTTCAGTTGAAAATTTGTTGACACAAATCGTGTTTCGCTAATACAACAAATAATAAAAAGTTTTAAGACTTAACTGACAATCGGCTTTCTCGTGCCACAAATATACGACGGATATCTTTGCCAGCTCCGTTTTAATCTGTGCTTACTTATGTATGCACGTAAAAAATTATACTTCTTTAGCGTATATTTATTTATACTTCTTTAACTTCTTTATTTCTGTGCCAGTACCCTTTGTTTGTGAAAAAATACATTAAATGCAACTGATGACGGTTTAATTAAATAACTTGGAATTTTAGGTCATTTTTCGGTATGCGCGCGCGCATCGTAAAAATTTTACTCTCATAACCTTTTTCCAAACGCGCCAATAGATCTCCGTTCAACTGTGTGGATAAGTTATTGGATGTAAACGTGGTACTTGGTACGCGGTACGTGGTACGTGGTACGTGGTACGTGGTACGCGGTACGCGGTACGATTTGTTTCTCTTCGATTTTAGATAGACCCAGAATTGGTTCTGCCTACCATGCGCTCGGCGGTAGAGGAGCAGTTGAACCTGATCGCTGCGGGCCGGGTAGATTTCCACGCGGTGCTGGCCCACACCACGGAGGTGTTCCGCAGGAAGTTCCAGTACTTCGTGCGCTCCATCGAGGCGATGGACCACCTGTTCGAGGTGAACTTCTCGTCGCTGAAGGCGAGCGGGAAGGCGCTCTCGCGATGCGGAAAGTGCAGGAGATACATGAGATACATTCAGGTTTGATCACTTTTCGTACGAGCATCGATGCTTGATTGTGTCTAAATCACGTCTCGACATGATCAAAAATCAAAATCGAAATCGTTTATTCATCGTCATAAGATACTTACATTTCATTTATCGATAGTTATATTTTTTTAATCTACCACCGTTTCGTAATGAGCTTCCTCTAGCGGAGAAGAAACAGGCGAAATAAACTCCGTAGGTATCCTCTTTTTTTGTAACTTTTTTATTTAAAAAAAATTAAAATATACAACTAAAATTTTTTCCTTCTTCAAATAACTTTATTTTGTAGATTAGTTGCTGAAATGTCTTTTGTCTGAACGAAATTGAAATGATGAATTGAACCGTTAAGTGTGTGTGAATTAAAATACCTTGGAGAGGTCTATTTCTCTTATAGAAATCAAATATATATCGTGAGTGGAATAAAAATATCTTGGAGACGTTCATGAACGTTGAAAAGCACCGAGAAAGCTGCATTCTCTATACGTAGCAAAGAAATAGCGATAGAAATAAGTGATGAAGTTATTTTTTTACGACAGGCGAAACCGGCGCGTCTCCATTGCTCGCACTGCGACGACACGTACGCGCTGCCCCAGAACGGCACGGTCCGCATCTACCGCGAGCTGAAGTGCCCGCTCGACGACTTCGAGCTGCTCTCCTGGTCGTCGGGCCACCGCGGCAAGAGCTTCCCACTCTGCCCCTACTGCTACAACCACCCGCCGTTCAGGTCTGCCGCCCTGGTTCTAAAAAGTAAAGTAATCGCCTATCATACGAATAAAACGATAACAAAACGCCCGAAACAGTGAATATATGTGTATGTAATGTATCGCCCTACAGGTTTATGTCGCCCTAGTCTATCTGAAAAGAAAAGTAACTGCCTATATATGTCCCGCATTTCGGATCTATGCCGACATGGTCTAAATCTAAAAAGAGGAAATCTAAAACAACTGCCTATATGTCCAACCCTTCAGGTGTATGTCGCCCTAGTCTATACAAAAGTAAAAAAAAGTAAAGTCCGGCCTTTCAGGTATATCTATAGTCTATCTTAAAAGTAGAAAAATTAAAGTTAATAGTATATCGCCCTAGTCTATAGTATACAACTCTGAAGTAATAGTGCAAAATATTTTTTTTTGTTACGCATACCCGCCCTCGCGTAGGCAAGCGCGGGTTATGTTGGACTCGCAACGACTAAACCCCCACGATGTTACACCTAGGCGCATATCGGCAGGGTCACGGGAACGCTTTCGCACACTTCCGCGACCCTGCCAGCGATTGGCCGCCTTAGCAGCCCCCTCCCGGGGAGCAACTTCCCTCTCCTTTAGGTAAGGCGCGCTGGAACATTTAGCGCGCCTTCCTACTCGGCCCCAGTTTCACGGCCAACGAACTCCCCCGAGTTCGCTAACCGGGGTCATGGGAGTCAGGAGAGCCAGTGCTAATAAGCAGCAAGCCTCCCAGGCCCCAGCGGTGGACCTGGTCTGTGGCTCGGCCGCTCACCACGTTTCGGCCGCGGAGGGTAGGGAGAACGGCGCACCGCAATACCAACACTCTTCTCCCCCCGCGGCCCCACCACAGCTCCATCAGCGGTGCAGCCCCGCCGAGTCGCGGAGGATAGGGAGCACGGCCAACGCAATACCGACACTCCTCTTCCCCTGCGACTCCTCCTCGGTAGCAGAAGACAGGGAGAGTGGCTCCACCTATACCACTCTCGACCTGTTCCCTGCACCCTCCAGCACGTATCCAGAGTGGGCTCAATGAAACCACTCGGAGCGGCCCTCGGGCCGGCCTTCACCACAGGCCGACCCAGTGTGGGTTCCTCTTAGCTTCGCCGTGGGTGACCAAGAAATTTACCCATATCAACCTATTAATTTTATGCTCGTCTGGTAATTTAACTTGTAAAATTACAATGCCCTTTTAAGAGCAACTTAGCAAAGCTTATATTCTTTACTTTAAACATTTTTATAACAAGTAATGTATGTTTTGAATGGTCTCGAATTGACAGGGACATGAAGAAGGGCTTCGGTTGCAACTCCTGCACGCACCCTACCTGCCCGTATGGTGTGAACTCCACCGGGGTGTCGGGTTGTGTGGAGTGCGAGGCGGGCGTTCTGGTGCTTGACCCCTCCGCCCCCAAATGGAAGCTGGCGTGCAACAGGTTTAAAAAAAATAAAACACGTTCTTTATTGTCCTTTTAAATATTCGAAAATAGAACGCGGGGTGCGACTAGATCATCAGCGAACGCCACCCGCGCTTAATTACCGCCGACTACAATATGATACTCATGAAAAAAAAAAAACCTATCGATCACTAGGTGTGACGAGATCAGCTACATAGTCGTGGTAGCGACGCAGCGCGTAAGGAAAATAAAATATTATTTAAAATTCGAAAATCGAACGCCAGGTGCGACTTTATAATCGACATATTCAAAGACGCGGCACGCATTTCATTAGGTACCTACACTACCTGCCGTTACAATAATATAAATACCATAAAAAAAAAAAAACAAGAAAAAATGAGATATTTAAAATTCGTAAATGGAACGCCAGGTGCGACGTGACCCACAACATATTCAAGGACGCGGCACGCATTTCATTAGATACCCACCCTACCCGCCGTGTACAATAATATAAATACCATTTAAAAGAAAAGAAAAAAGAAACATTTGAAATTCGAAAATGGAACGCCAGGTGCGACGTGATCATCAACATATTCGAGGACGCGACGCGCGTGTCCGTGTGCGAGCAGGCGTGCACCACGTGCGGCGCCCAGCTCGTGTGCGTCGAGTACCGCGCCGAGCGCACCCGCCTCCCCGCCGCCCTCACCGAGATGACCGCCTGCCTCTACTGCGAGCCCAGCTTCTCCGCCCTCGTGAGTATCTCCAGCCATAAATGGTGGCAGCCTGATGCACGAATGGGCAGGCTCGTCCGGGTAAGTGCCACGACCTCACAGAAGACCGGCCTAAAGTGGAAGTATAATACTTCCGCGTTTCGTCTGGTGAGTGAGGTGGCCGGAGCCCAATTTTCAAAAGGTTGTCAACAGCATCTGCAACCCTCGGTTGTAGCAGGTGTCCATCAGCGGCGGTATTCACTTAACATCAGGTGAACTGTCTGTTCGCTTGGCAACTTTTTACATAAAAAAAAATACTCTTTATGTTTGGGGAAAAAAAATGTGAGATGCGAATTTTGTTTGCTATGGTGACACCTTCATGATGTTACCATAACAAATTTCACGTGGAAAAGCACCCGGATCCGAAAAATTCATCAGTGGGTCACACGATTTGTTGTCCCGTGTGGGAAACGATCTCACGACCCCCTGCGCCGAACCTTGGCAACTGCGCCATGGTGTAGTTCAAAGAAGATCTAAGAAGATGACTACGAAAACGGTTCTAAGAGATGTTCCGAAATCGCCAAGACGGAGACGGTTCTAAGAGTTACGTTTAATATCGGTCTCAGAAGGTAATGAACCCTAGACGAGGCTGACGCATACATAATGTATGCTTCTGCAGAAGGGTGTGTATCTTATTGCAGTGAATGATTCGGTTCCGGGAAGTACTACGGGTTCGCAAAAGAGCGTCGTAAAGTAGAAATATTCATAATTTTGCATGGCGTCAAAATAGTGAGGTAACCGGGTCTCCATTTAGAGCGATGGAACTAGTACCCCGCGATTGTCTACCATGTCTATAATTTGCCACGTTCTATCAACGTTACGCATCCCTGGATACCAAACGCACGTACATAGATTGTGAGATTGTGTTGGCGTGAGCGGTAAGAAGGCGTGGGTCGGGATGGGAGCGCGCATTCCGCTCTGGCCCCAAGTCAACTTTTGCCTTTTATATTTCACTTTACTTTTTAAGGTGGAGAAGCACCGTGCCGTCGCCTCGCGTGCGCAAGGGCCACGCGGTCGCGGCAGCCGTGTTCGCGCCACAAAGGGCCGCAACAAACAGCCCAAGGACAAGATGGCGCAGCTCGCCGCCTACTTCGTATAAATCCGCTCGAATCAGACCGATCCGCCATCGAAATGTGAGACACAAATGTTATTTTTATCCGAAAGCGGCTCACGAACTGTTTGCAGTCCTTATTTTTCGGTCTGTGGCTGTGTGAACTCTTCTAGCGGGTTTAGCAACACTAAGCATCGAAGTGACAGACGATTTAAACAAGATGGCGTCGAAGCTTGGTCGTACTTTTTTACAATTTGCAATTTAAATATATAGTACTATTATTATTATATAAGGCATTGAATCATAAACTTGCATTGGCAAGGAATTGGATGCGACTCAGTCGCAGTCAACTATAATCAATAGTGTTCCCTTTTTTGTGTCGCTCTTAAATATTTGAAGTTGTTACTTCTTAACCATTCAAATAAGGAAGATTTTTATAATCTCTGTGGCACTCAAATAATATTATTATTATTTTGATAAAACAATTTTCGTGAACGTAATATTTAAGTATCGTATGCTTTGTTTTCTTAACCATTAAAATAAAATGCAGCTGAAACATTTGAGCACTATTCACATTTAAACTTTTTTATGACAAAAAAATTGTAGAATTTGATAATAGTGATCTTAATTAGGGACACTTTTAAAAACTAATATATCAAAAGTAAACAAACCAACAAATCCCATGTCCGCTAAAAATTTACTGATCAAAATCTTTCCAGTAAACAATATTTTTTACCCATATATTCCATACCACATGTGAGTACTTCTTGAATAATAATCGATTCTAATGAAAATAGTTAAAATAGAACGAATTATTGTTAATTGATGAGAAATGTTACTCTGGCTCATAATCTTCAAATTCGAAATTATTTTAACGTTTTGGAGGCAACTGTTAATTTTTTTAACGAAAATTACGTGCCTGAACTTTCAATGTCTATTTTGACTGGACTGTTCATTGTTCATAATCCATAAGTAAGGACTTAGTAATTTGTTCCCGTTTACTAAAAAAAATTATGATATTTAAATTAATTTAAATGTTAATAATTAATACACCACTAACAGCAATATGCTGTGAGATTCCAGTCCAATTCAAATTATAAAATTACAACCTTTTAATAGTATTTTCGTAATTTTAGTTGGATAGGAATATTTTTGTTAAAATATTTGTATCAGAATCATATAGTTTATTAAACAACAAAATTATCTTCTGTTCAATACATTGCGCCAACATCATGGGGTAGTTATACCGAAATCAGCTTTATCGTCATTCTCAACTTTACATTAGATGTATAACATTTATTATGTGTAGTGATTGAAAAGTTTTTCTATTTATTGTTTTTTCTTTATTTGAGTTAATAAATCAGTTCTAACACAACGTCGTATTAATTATTCTACTTTGTGATCATTTCACCGGATAGTTTCGATTTCAGATTCTACGTCCTATTTTAAAATAAATACTTTATTTTAAAATAGGACGTAGAATCTGAAATTAGCATACTTATAATATTTATTACTTGATCAGTGAGGGGTGAGTAACTACTCTTCTTCCTCGTACCGTCAATGCTGAGGATCGCGACGACGTACAATGTAACGCCAACCAGGGCGATCATGCGAATCATGGACCGCTCTATACATGCTACCGCCCACTGCCCCTTTCACAGCATCAAACAATCTTGCAGGCGCCCTACCCCAAGCTCGTTGGCCATATATTTGCCCCAAGATAATGTAGTGACTACCGCATACTGTGACCGAAGAAGCTAAATGCTCGTTCTTGACATATTCGTGAGAGTCGTTTAGTGATTTTCAGTTCTCTAAGGACAGATTCGTTTGTTCTCATGGCAGTCCATGGCAGCATTCTCCGCTAACACCACATATTGAAGGAATCGACTCTGCTGCTAAAGTAAAAAGGGCAAAGAAATACTTGTGTTTATTGTGGGTACAGAAAATACAAGATGGTGATGACCTTGTTTTGGAAACGAACTTCAGCAATGTTCATTACACCGTTGCAGTTTAAATAAAACAAATCAGCAGTTGAAGTCTTCATTTTATTGTGAAGGTTGTCCACCTAATACAATGTTTAGGTACAGTACGATATAAGCTTACAATATATTACTGTATTTGTCTTTAACTTTATCTGCTGCCTTTTTAATCAGAGCGAACTCTTTTACAATTATCGTGGAGTATACAGTTTGAACATTTGACATTAATTGTACGTGACATAAAAGATGATCATTGCCGTTTTTTTATTTCTTATGTGTGCAATGAAGTCAGTGTGAAATCCATATATGTATAGAAAGAAATCGAAGCCAATTATATACTATACCGTTCAGCCCAGAAAAATACTTGAAACAACTGTCATTTCATGCTTTTGAACAAGCTTACTTTAATTTTAGACCTTTATTCAATATCCATTCGAATAGATTTAACAAAAACTAAAACTTATGTGGCGGTAAAAATTTAATTAAAAATATTACCAACCCGTGCCAATTTTCTATAATATATCACAGATAAGCCAACGTGAAATGCTCAGCAATATAAAATTTATTTAAATATTCATGTATATATACAAAAGACAAAAGGACCTGCCCAGGAACGGAAAATGAAGGAGTATATGCTGGTTAATTAACCATGTTTTACTTGAAGCTTATAGATGTTTCGCACCTGGTAAAGAAATAAACAATCATTTAGTAGTATATACGTATTACGTATATACCAATTGGCAATTTGGTCACATGGAGAATAATATCTATGACTTTTACTTTCTCTACGTGCAGTTTCTGTTTCGAATATTTAATCGTTATTCCCTTTTACACCCTGTACGAAAGATTCAAAAATAAATTATAATGTACAAAAATAGGAAAATAATATTCACCTACATTTAAACAGCACTGATATGCCTCGAAAACTTCACAACATTCGATAAAATTAATATTACTCCCCTCGGGATTACTTTAAAACATTACAACTTAATACATTACAATTAAAATAAACATATGTTAGCGTATGATGGATTAAATATGTTTCGTAGCGCTACACCAACAGCAGTTCAGTGATATGTGGATTTTACTGATCGATCACAAGTTTAATTATATATGGCAACATTTGCGTTTCACTAAACCGCCAGCGCAACACATACATATAGTCGATGTCACTGAATTATATCGAAGACTTACATAGAGTTATAAATTAATATGGTAACGGTTGTGCAATTATTATATTGTTTTGTTCCTATTCTCTACGTTTCCAGTAGTATTGACTAATTGAATTGGTTTCTAACGACAACGCAAGAACTACAAATTTTCTGTACATTTAATACGATCTTTCTTTTGTCTGAGATTCATACATTATTAGTATATTAAATGTACAGTGTGTTCAAGTCCTTTCTATACTCTAATATTAATTTAATCTCACTGTTTTTATTGATAACATAATTAAATTCTATTAGCTTTAATATATATACTTATAGCGAATATTTACAAAGATGAATACTTTTTAGCGATTTTCTTTTTTTTCCCACGTAACCCATTTAATTTTCACCGCGGTACCATAGTGATTCTAAAAATGTTATCGTGAGTTGCACTGAACAATTCAATAATTTAAATAATATCTTGTAACAATTGCAATCTGAATAGTTTATTATTCGTATTTGTATTAATTTATTTAAATCAATTAAGCAATGATTTCCCAATATTAAGCAAATAAATCGATTTTCATTCTTTAACACTTCACAAAAAAATCATAAAATTTTGCAACAGGAAAAACAGACTGTAAAATAAAATTTTTGCAGATATAAAGGAACTTATTGACTAATTTGTTGCTATTTTCGTAAATTTATAATAATATATTTATTTTTATACATTTACGAAGAAAAATTAATTCGTTACCTAAATTGTTTTTATATAATCTAAACGAACTAAGACGAGTTAACATCAACATAGGGGTATGTTTTTGCACTTTCCGAAGTAGGCAAATATTTTGTTTGATGTTCTTTTGAGTCTATTTTAGCTTAGTGGTTAAACCGAGAACTTTTACAGAACAGTACAATAAGTATTGAAAGGGTGGATTCGTGTGTGTTTATTTGTACTCTTCAAGTATATTACATATAGGCAAGGGGAACTTTTGCTATGCGACTACGATGTCTATATTCTCTATCCTCACTAAATGGTCCGAATTTAGTATGAATTTAAGCGGTGAAATAACATACCGTGGACCCATACAAAATTTATAAGTAACCGATTTCAAAAGGAGGCCAGCTCATTACACATTTAATACTGAAACATACATAATAATACATTTAATTACGAAATGTTAGAACTTAACACACTTATACCAATATCCGAAACCGAAAAATATATTACAAGGAACCCTAAGTTCGTAAGGTTACAATTTGAAATAAAAAGTATCACCATTATTAACTAGAAGAATTTACTGATGTCATTTCTATAATTGTTATTGTCATAGAATAAATTTAATAATTTAAAGAGTTTCTATACCGCTAGCTTTTCGGTTTTGGAGAACGATATAAGGCGGTTACGAAAATAGTACAATTACATACGTATAATAAAACCGTAGATTCATGAGTGATAGGTAGTATAGAAAATAAGCTATGGATAGCTTATAATATTTTGAGCCACTGAAGTATATAATATATTATATTAAATTTCCTCTATTTAAAGCTCTTAGTTTTCATTACATGCGAGATATATGATCGCATTGAATACTAAATGCCCATAGTCAAGATGTAGTCGATAAATTCGACTAAGTTTCGTAGGGCAAACAATATTATGATTATCGAAGTAACAACTATTAAATCGGTATAGAGTGACTATTATGTATATTAAACATAAGCTTCGCCTTTGGCATTTGCACAGGACTAACCATCTTCATTATACCTTGTATATACAAGTCAATAGACACTCTAGAAGAGTTTGTAAAGAAGGTCACTTGGACGCAGACACTGCACAGTTTAATGTTTTAGTAATTAATCGTGATAGAGAAGATTGTGAAATAAACACTTCTGGTCAGATTAGCACAACACAGCGGAGAGGTGCATTATTTTACCACATTAGATGGTCCACACCTGAACTTTTTCTGCCACCACGCACCAACTCGCTTGATCGTAGTACGACGATACGACGTGTAGGCTTTCAACGTATTTCTCGATTAGCTGATCAAGCTCGCCTTTTTTGAAGACGTGGTAATAACGATGGTAAGTGACAGCGCCTCCCTCGGAAGGCAAGCTATCAGATCCGTCGCTTAAAGATGGGAGAAGTGGTGCGTGTGCAATAGCTCTCGATGGTGCCGCTGGAACTGGTGTGGCTGTATCCTCGGAGGATGATCGGTTCTCTAACAGTTTTCTTTCTTTAGAGCACTCGCTGCACGATGGCAAGGAGGCCAAACTGGCGCAGCCCAAGGAAGCTGTGCTGCCGGTTTTGTCTCTTCGACTCCAGTCGCTTCCAGCCGAGGTGTCGCTTGATTCTATAGAAAAGCCTGATTTTAAAGGCGCTGTACTAGCACTCGACCGTGAGGTTATCGATTCGGGACTTATTTCCATTTTGTCTAAATCACTTGAGTCAGTTGATTGACCAACTTTTAAAGAAGATCTTTTATCGGTGCTGGTACACAATGAATCGACACTTATTTCTGATTCTAAAGAATAACCTGTTTCCAATGATTGACTTGTGTCATAAGTTCCCGATTCGATAGTGATTTCGGGGTTGCCGTTACTAGAAGATATTGCGCTATCATCGTCAGGATTCTTGGCATCTACATCGGGCAATTTTTCGTCAATGCTCGTTTTTGTTATATTGTACTGAATGTTGGCACAATTATTTAAGTAGACATCCTCATCGCTTGTTACTTTTAAAGACTTTTTCAATTCCCTATACTTATTTATTATGGGGTCGACATCTTTGGACCTCTTTTTACTTTTAGTTTTAGATCCACATTTAGGGAAGAGTTTATTGATATCTGACTCTTGGGAATCACTTAATGAAGATATATACCTTGTCTTTTCATTAGTGCTTAATTTGTTAATGCTTTGCATGTCTGACCCTATTTTATTGTATGGTTCTTCAAGATGCTGTAGACTATCTGACAGTTCATCAAGAATTTTCTGAGTATTTCTGTCTTCTTCTTCTCGCTTGAGCCTAAGTGAGATGCTTTTTTCACTGCTACTACTGCTTGGTAAATCGAAGTCTTCTTCATTAATACGTTTCGAGTATTCATCAATTTCTTGTAATAATTTTTCGCTCAATTTTTCTGCAAATTCTGTTAAATGTTGATTACGATCTTGATCAATGACCCAATCTTCTTCTTTAGCTAACATATCAGACTTACAAGTCACAAGCGGTTCATTGGCTTGTATCCGATTAAAACTTTCAGACTTTGAAATAGATTTTTCTGAGTCTGTGCTCGATATGGAGATTGAATCATATGGTAGTCGTGTTGGGCTTCTGTGGTTCTTTTCTTCGAGTGACCTTCCTTCAAGCCGGTTTGGTGACAACCTGTTTAAGCTCCAAGTTGAATTACTTGTACTGCCTTGCTTAGGAGACCGGTCTTTTGATCTTCGACCCGGCGATAGGCGCTCTAAACTAGAAGAACTTCCACTGGAGCTAGTATGTGACTGAGACCTTGATCTGTCTTCTAATATCCTTAAATCTCCCGGTGACAATTTATTAAGGCTCCAATTGCTACTGCTGCTGCTACTTGAAGCTCCTTGTACAATGGCTAATGTTTCACCACTTTCTAGTTTTTCTAATTGTTTCCTTTTAGTCCGTGGGCTGGATTGTATAACAGTTTCACACGTCTCGTCTAATGATTGAGCAACCTCCGCTGCAGCTTCAATCAGGCTTTGTGCAGGCGATGATGAATTTGACTTGTCCGAGGTATTTGCAGGCACGACTTCTTTCTTCTCTGATTGAATGGGATTTGAAAGGTCTGAAACAATATTTTAAAATTACTTCGGTAACATATGTTAATACTAAAGTATTAGATAAAAATCTAAAGACAAAAGATTATACCTTTTTCAATAGCAGTTTTTCTTAATTCATCTGGAATGACGCTAATGACGCTATCTACTGAATCTGGAGAAGATACTCCACTGGAATCGCTATCCATGTCGTCAGTAGCAGGGTTGAAAAGTTCCAGGGACATTAGTTTTGGGTGACTCTTTGCTATTGGTTCAGGTTTATTCGTTCTTACTATGGGAAACGGAGGTCGTCTTGAAACGCTCAACGGAGGAATACCTTTATTTAACATATCTTTTATTTGCCTTATTCTTTCCTTTCTTTTTCTATCAGCAAGTCGAGAGTCTAGAGTATCATTAGTTGGTGATCGATTCGGTTCTTTAGGTTTAAACTGTGGTATTTCCGGTAATTCTGCTACTGTTTGCAACGTTATTTTGGGATAGGGTTTAATATCTTGTAATATGACTCGTGGTTTTAAGTCATCTGTATCCACAGTCAGTTTATGTATTTCTTCAATATCTTTATTAATCTCAGCAATAAGTTCTTTTGTTATTTCAGTTGGTGTTTCTTCCTCCTCTTTAATCGGTGGTATAGGATCCGGTTCTTCAAACACTTCTATTGATATATTTCTGTTGGTAAAAGGTGGTGGTTCTGGCTTTATCACTTTATCTTCAGGCCGTATGACTTTGTCCTCTAGACTTATAACTTTATCTTCTGACTCTGATTTAGGTGGTGAATTTGGTTGACTTTTTGATTGAGGTTTTAAAGGTGGGGTAATTGCGGCACTTGGTGTTGAATAATTTTTTAAGCTATACTGTGCCACTAGAATTTTGTTAACTGTTCCAGGACTCTGGGTAGAATTTGGTGACGCTGGTGGGCGAATCAAAGGAAACGCTTGTTTTATTCTAGGAGATGGTAACCCTGGCGAACTTTTCATTCTAGGAGACGTTGGCACAGAAGATACTTTCAAACGAGGGGATGTTGGTCCTGGTGATAGTGGAGTAGGTGATAATGGATCACCCGATCCATCTGCTTTTGGGACGTAAATAACCGAAGCAAAGCTGTCTTCCGAATCCACGCTGGTATCGCTTTGTAGACTGCTGTCTTTGGAGGAATCTGAGCCATCTTCTTTTGAATGACGCCTTTCTGGGTAGCTTTTGTCGTTATTTGCGTTAGTATCGCTTGGCGTAGGTACTTCTGGAACTGGCCCATGGGTTTTCCAGCCCTGGAGCATTCGCACAAAAACGGTCACTTTATCAATGTTGGTAGTCGATGTCTTGAATTTATTAGTGAGTCCATTTTTAAGTGACTGGAACTTTTTAGCCGTAGTCGCCGACGTAGAGAATATGGAGTCACGGATTGAGTCTAACGTTCCCGGTCGGCGATACAAATATTCTTCGTTTAAGGATGCTTGTTTTTGAATATTTTTTCTTAACCGCTCCTTCTCTCTTAGTCGTTCAGCAGACATCAGTTCCTCGTTAAGGGACGTTTGCTTAAATACACCTGGCTTCTTTGACTGTAAGCGATTTGTGTGAATTTTGAAATTGGGCATCTCCTCTACCATACTTTTCATATCCGTTGGCTTATCTAAGTCCTCCTCAGCGTCGTCTTCGTTGATTGACTTTTTTTGTTTTACAAGTTTGGGTTTTTTTCGCGCTTCACTAGTTTCTGGTACCACAACCTCCTGAGGAGTGGGGTCAGAATCGTCACCACCGAGGCTGGGTAGACTCGAGCGGGACCGAACCAGGGCTCTACGTTCTATGTCGGCTATGTCGGTTAGGCTCCTTGATTTAAGGGTCGACGCGTCGGATGTTTGCGAAACGAGCCTAGACGGGAATGCCTCGTCGAGACGTCTCAGTTCGATGGGTAAATCAGCAGCAGGAGGCTCCGGCCGTGGGCAGGGCCTTTGGTTCACTCGCGTGCTAAGACCCCACGAGGGCAAGAAGGAACGCCTCCCGGCAAGTCGTTGTAGGGCTCGTCTCACGAACGAGTAGCATGTCTCATTAGGCGATGAAAGCGACGATGAACCTGGTGATCCATCTCGGCTTTTCCACGTTTCGCTTCTGTGAAAAATAATACGTATTTAACTGTAGTATATATCTTTTAAAATATTAGTAATCAATATTCACGATGGTTTATTTACCGTTCGTGATCAACTGAAAGAAATCGTGGTGTCGGTGTCGGCGGGCACAACGTCACTGGACGATGCCACGGTATAAGTACGTCCTGAAAAAAAAAAATAATTAACTGTAACCTTTAAGTATCTATGAAAATTGCATTGATATTTGTTCACAACATAGCTATTGTACAGGTGAGTGTTTTAAATACTTTTTTATTCAGAAAAAATAAAAATGGAAAAATAATAATGCTGGTCCAGCATAAGCTGAATTATTAATATTTTTACAAAAATACCGACAAGTTGATAGAACCTCTAGTTCTCCATATTAGCAATACAAAAGCATCTTTCTTTTCATTAATTGTATGTCAGTTGTAAATCTGGGCATTGTTCTTAGAAACTTAAATAAAAAAGTCCTTAATAGATTAACTAAATTGATCGTTACTAATTTATTTTTACCCCGAAATGTTATGAAATAAATAAAGTGAGTATCAAGAAGCTTTTTCCTTGAAAGTGTTGATTTTTAAAGAATATAAGGTTTAAAACATCAAAAGTACCTATATCATAAATATACCTCATGGCTATTTTATGGTTATTTTTTTTTGTTAATTTTGTATTTATACATTTCTGCTTTACTGTGAATGTTAGCTATAGAAGTAAAAGAGTCATCCAGGAAGTTCGATATAAGCATTACTCGGAAAAGGTTCGCATTTCTCTGAGGAAAGCAACTCGACAGCGATACATCTTTAACTTAGATATTACTACTAAGAAGATTCAGCTGCACACAACGGGTCAGAATAGCTCTTCGGCGGTGAACTGTTACTTGAACGAGTAGTACTTCGTGCCGATTTCTCATACATAGATGTGGAATGCACCTGCGAATGGAAGTTCCTGCCCTCGTGTTCCATAGCCCAGACTGTGAGCAGTAGGCGGCCGCCGATTCTGGTGACGCGCGCCAACTCGCGAAGGGCCATGGCTCGGCGCTCCACCGTCGCGAAATGGTGGACCACAGCGATCGACAGCACTGCGTCGAACGACTCATCGCGGAACGGCAAACTTAGGTTGTCGCACACCACGACCTGATAACAGAAAGAACGAACATCTTTGCTAATCATCTGCTGTTCTGCTCTGAGCGCATCGTTGATCTTATCACGTCCGAGCGACGACATAACACTGCTCATGAATCGATTTGTGAAACAGTTTTGCTTCGACTAGTTTTCTTAGCGGGTTTGATTACATTTAAACCAGTTAATGTATCGGTGGTGATCTACCAGTAGGTGAAATGACTATACGTTTATGATCAGTAAACCATTGACTGGTTTTCATTCAGACCGATAAAATAGTTACGTTTATGATTCTTTGAGTTTTTACGGTGATAGGGCCACGCAACAGTGTTCGCTGTTGCACGAATAGGCAGGTCCGTCCGGGTTAGTACCACGACCTCACAGAAGACCGACGTAAAGTAGAAGTGTTGCACTTCTGCGTTTCGTCTGGTGAGTGAGGTAGCCGGGGCCCACATTATTAAGAGGTGGCAACGCATCTGCAACCCTATGGGTGTTGCAAATGTCCATGGGCAGGCGATTATCACTAACATCAGGTGAACCGTCAGCTCGTTTGCCACGTTCTCACATAAGAAAAATTCAATGCCCATTTATCCATTCATCGTTTATTAAATAATGGACAAAAGAAGTTAATCTTTTTAATAGTTTTGTATTAATTAATGTTAACGCTTTCAGTGTCGAGACTATTAAAGCTTCATCGAGCGCAATCTTTTTAATGAGTGCTCCTACACGTCACAATCATCACCGGGTGTATTCTTGAATGAAGATATAACACTTTCGAATCAGTATACAAAATATCTATCCTTTGACGTGATCAAAACACACCAAAATTGTACACCATTGTGTGTACCAAAATTGTACACCACCAACATTAAAACAGTATCGTCCTATTAACGTAGTACTTACTTAATACCCGTATGGTTGCAGATACGTTGCCACCTTTTTTTTTTTTTTTTATGTAAAAAGTTGCCAAACGAGCAGACGGTTTACCTGACGGTAAGTGAATACCGCCACCCATGGACATCTGCTACACCCGAGGGTTACAGATGCGTTGACAATCTTTTGAAAGTTGGGCTCCGGCTACCTCACTCACCAGACGAAACGCGAAAGTATTTTTCATACTTCCACTTTACGCTGGTCTTCTGTGAGGTCGTGGTACTTACCCGGACGGGCCCGCACATTCGTGCAACACGGGCCTGGTTGGTTCGCGTTATTTAAAAACTAACCTCATTGCTCGGCTCCCTCGCCTGCGCCGCAAGTCGCTTGCACCGGTCGCCGCCCACCGTGAACACGGACGGATTCAAACCCAGGTACTTTCCGTTTCCGCATCCTGGTTTAAGTTAGAAACATCAAGATGATACGTATTACAAGAAAACACGTGTAGAGAGCTTTGACTAGCCCGGGGAAAAATAAGCGTTTTAGTGGCAAGGGCCACTTAAGCCTTGTGACCGGCAAAGTTTCATATAATACTAAAGAGTTCCTGTTCACCAATCGCTTGTAATCTCTCTATTATTTTGTATTCTCATCTAGAGTCAGTCTTCATTTCCGTTCACGACTTTGTTGATTTGAAAATCTTGTCATATGGTGATCGTGATTGTATGGAGTCTTACACGACGACAGCACAAGATAGCTATGTTATTAGCATATAATATAAATAATGACAATCCAGTATTAAATAGACTGTCTATTAATACTGAAGCTCATACTTTTTTAGTAATTTAAGGCAGACAAAAGAGAAACCAGATGTTAAAACTGTTAGCTTGTTATATCAAAATATAAACCGTTTCTCTGGCAAGATCCTTGACGTAGAACTTCTAATTGATAAGTTTAATGTAGATTTCTTGTGCTTTACTGAGACATGGCTCAATGATATGTCATTTAGTATAAAAAATTATTCAGTATTTAACAGAGTATCTGCTATGGGAGGGGGGTGTCTCATCCTACATAGAAATACTTTGAAATTAAAAGAAAGAACTGATATTGTTGCATACTCTGTTGAACTATATTACTATATACTGTTGAAAATTTAAAATAAAAAAGCATATAGTCATTTGCGGTGATTTTAACATTGATTTACTGACAGATTCTCCAGATAAAGTGAGATTTCTGTCACTTCTTAAAACATTTAATCTTTACTGTGTCTTCGATGAACCAACAAGAGTAACCCCATCCTGTGCCTCTTGTATAGATAATATTATAGTAAATTGTAAAATCGTAAACCAAGAAATATTGAGTGGTGTTAGATCTGACCATAAAGCCCTTAAAATAGACATCTATGTTAATAACAAAAATAATGTTATTATAAATGAGTGTAGGCTTGTAAATAAATGCAGAATTAAACAGTTTAGAGATAGCGTCAAACACAAGCTACCCTTATTAAAATTAACTAACAATGATCCCGATGACAATTTCAATGCCTTGTTTACTATGATTACTACAGAATTTAATAAAATTATGCCGAAAAGAAAAACTATAACTTTAGGCAATAAACTTTGCTTTAGTGAGTGGGCAACTAAGGGAATTAGAAAGAGCAGGGATAAACTATATGATCTATATGGTATTAAGTCATTATCTTTTGATCCTAACTTCCATGAATATGTTAGGAATTATTCAAAAATTTTTAAAAGGGTATGTACTTTAGCTAAAGCAGACTATTTGAGTAATAAAATTAAATTGTCTTCAAATAAAGTTAAAAGTACGTGGAATGTAATAAATAAGGAAACTGGCAAAAATAATGGAATAAAGGCAGATTTTACATTAAAAGTTAATGGCAAAGTTTTAAAAGAAAAATATAAAGTAGCAAAAGAGTTTCTTAATGTCTTCACAAATGTACCTTGTGGAACTACTAGACATTTGCAACACTGTCCCACAGAGGCAGTAACATATATCGACAAATATGTTAATATTTCTGTTCCAGATTTTAAATTTTGTCATATAGGCCCGAATGATATTATTAAAACATTTAAAAATCTAAATAACAAGAAAACAGAAGACTTATGGGGCTTATCAATATGGGCAATTGATCTTATAATCTATGACATTGCTTGCATATTAGCCCAAATATTTAATACATATTTAGACAGTAGCAAATTCCCAAAGTTCATGAAATATAGTAAAGTTGTGCCAGTATATAAATCGGGTTCAAGAGATGATGCCTGTAATTACCGTCCTATCTCTATGTTGCCGGCTTTAAGCAAAGTGTTTGAGAAAATAATGCTGGATCAAATGATAGTACATTTTAACAAATATAAAATTTGACAATTTGATTTGACACTAAGTCCTGGGTAGATCTACAACTGATCAGGGATAGAATTAGTTCTTCAAGGAACGTCCTGGACAGCTTTCATGACACCATTGTTGTTGTTCGAAAGGCCTTTGACTGTAAGAGATCATACAATTCTAATAGGAAACTAAAATTATGGTACGCATTGTTTTTATTATCTTACTGACAGGGAACAAAAATATCATAAATGGTAAATTGTCATCGGGGTCAAAAGTTGGGCGTTCCTCAAGGATCGATCCTGGGCCCTTTTCTGTTTTTAGTGACCAGATGAATGACCTGTTTTAAAGTGATATTTTTAAAGTTAAAAAGGAATGATTGGAACAAACCAAATGAAAAGGGTCTACCAAAGAACTCCAATAAAACAAAATTGTTTAGTTGTGCGGACGAAAATGTTACTGTTTGGAAAGTTGCAATGGGGATTACATGTAGATAAAAAAAAATCTCCATTTTAATTCGTCCAATCCAATCTCCATCGTTCCTTACTGGGCTGAATGTCGATAAAATAATGATAGCTGCATTCGCCATTTTCGTGATTATTTCGATAGTTACGATAGGCAATTTTAAGAAACTCCTATACGTAAGGAAGCTTGAAATTAGATACATTAAAACGCTTAGCGTTCAAATGGGTAGTTTAAATAGGCATATGACATTACTATACAGACCGAGTAGTACACTGTTGTATATTAAATATAGAGATCCTTGAATGTTTATACATAAACAATAAAGGATTAAAATAATAAGATTATATTAAAAAAAAGAAAAAATATTCAAGGCGACTCCAACCTTCTTTCTAAGAATTACTAAATAGCTCTTCATATTTTTATGAAATTTTAATATGGTTTTATTATAAAAGTCGGACCGAACGTTCACCGCTTTTCGTCGTGGGCGTATAAAAGTTAACATTTATGTACCCCGTAATTAATTTAAGATAAATTGTGCTCAGCGGAGATTAAAATAACAGGCAACCTTCTGTTCCCTGCGTGGGCGGAAGATAGGAGAACTATGTACGTAGATATTTACACTATGCCGATCTTTTACTAACAAAGGAAACGGCGTAGCTAAGTAGCGCATGCCGTTCTTTTATAAACGTACGTAGTTTTCACTTTTATAAGAAACTTCTTTAAATACAATTAAGTTACTTCCACTCTGAAATAAAATTCCGCTTTGTATGAAAAACACCACTAGTAATCCACTTTTTTATACAAAGTTACTACTTAATATGAAAAAGGTGGAATGTCATCTTATCATAATCTGTTTGTACAATCCTATTTTGATAATCTTTAACACACTTTTTAAAAATAAAATATTTGATTGTTTATGGATGATTATTCAAATCCGTTAACAGTTTGGCGAAACTAGGTACAAAAAATTTTTCTATGGACTTTACGCGGCAAATAATGGCGGACATTGCCATCACTCTCCCTCAATGCGGTTTCTCTTTCTTGCAATACAAGAAGTGCCATGTTGTTTGTCAAAACTTAATTTCGCACCGCGTATTTTGAATGTAAATGCTTATTTTATTGTAGATTTAAATTGTTTAGAGTAAACTTTCTCACGAAAGCTAGCGACAGGTGATCAGAGTTGTACTTTTAATTCAAAATGCCTAAAAGACTGTTTATCACCTGTGAAATTGGTGAAAATCTAGCAAGTCATTCGAATCTTGAAAAAAGGATGTTTATGGTGAGATTTCCCTTAGATGAAGCCCATGTAAGCACTTAAATATGATACTTTGCAGCCATATGTAAGTAGAGCAGGCTAAGAACAAATAAAATTAACAAATTTATCTCATTTAATTTGTGTGCTAGTGCAACTGTAATATCCACATATCGATAACTACGTTAATGTTTATCATTGAAAAAAAAATAAGAAATAAAATGTTGCGTGAAAGAGTAGGGGCACAAGGTTTTACATATTTGAATGGTGTGCCTACACAAATGAGCAAGGATCGAAATAGGTAAATTTGTAATATTGATACGTAATATAATTAATTTCGTGCGCTGAGTATGCCAGAAAACTACAATAATTTTTGGATTTTGATTCTATTTTTATGTTTCAATTATTTCCAGACTCGTGTACAGCAGGACAACAGCTGTTGGCAGAAGAATCAAGAAACAAATATCATTTCAGTAATAAAATTTTATTTTAATGAACAGAAACAGTTTTTTATCTTATTTCGGGTCCGTATTCAAGTCCCATCTTCTACCAAATATCCCCTCATCAAAATTGGACATAAATACGGACTCGATACTTACCTACTAAAATTAATAGTATCTTTTATCGATATCGATAAGAAGCTAAGCTAGCTTCGTTAAGCACTATTTTGCTCGTTACGTTGGTACTCATGTTGTTTGACATATTTGTGGTGTTTTTGTGGTATGGTTGGTATTGGCGTGCCGCGTAAACTGATATTTTTGGCTAGTATGGAAGTCCCGTCTCTTAAACGTAGTGATTACATTGTCTTTGTCCGTTAAGTCGTTGCGTGAATGTTGACCAAATATAGACACACAAAAATTTCGCATTTATAATGTCAGTGCAAAGTTGGTGTTAATATTAATAATTAATAGAATTTTGGGCTGCATTAGCTAGACTACAAAGGACACGAGACTTCGCTCTTTAGTAATTGATACTTTACTGATACATGACATTGATAATTATTTTGAATTAACCAAAAACTATTACATAGGTATTAAAGTATTAACTAGGTAATAATAAATTACAACAAGCTTAATTACAATCAAAAACGATAAACCGTATCTTAATCACTGACCTTTATTCAAAGTAAGATCATGCTTTCTTTATTTCCTCTGAAATACACTAGCTACAGCAATGCTGTGTTTATGATGAAGATTCATGTATGTAAGGCCAACTACGTGGGGTTGATTCCCACAGCGACGAAAAACATTTCGTATTTTTTTCTAATTTAATGTTTCATCTTAAGTACAGAGATTAAGCATTATAAAAATTTAAAATAATATTTAAAGGCTGCTAGAAACTCTGCATAGTTTTATGCAACGAGTGATTACATTCTTAAGTTGTCGTCAGCTAAAGCTTTTCTTCTTCTTCTTCTACCTGTCATTAATCCGCTTTTACTGTATGGTAATATCTATTAATTAGTTTTTTTTTAATAAACCGATTTGACTGATCGTTTGGCGAAAGGGCGAAGCGGTGGTGTCCTCTGCACTACAACCCAAAACTTTGCCTTTGTAATAAGTTTTTATATTATAAAACTTATTTAGTGTTTTGCTGTTAGCGCTTTTATTTTGCATGATGTCTCCACAATACAAATGAAATTTCATATGTGTAAAAATAACTTAATTTTTAAAACAGAGAGTAACTATTTCTTTCAATCTTCTTAGGGGGTAAAAAGCTATTTTTGCACATGTTTAAAGTTAATTGTTACAAATAATGTCATCATTATAAGAGCCTTGTAATTTAGTTCCGGCAAATATTTTTTCACAATGATTTGCGTCATGCGAAGGATTTCATTATGATTGTTAATGATTGTCATAATGATTAATGAAATGCTTCGATTGGTATCTTGCTCATTTTTTTTTATTTACGTTTATTATACATGAACTTTTAGAACAGTCTGGCCTATAGGTACTATCTACTTGGAGGTACAAGTTGTTGTTGAATAGCCAATACAGCTAAGTTTCTAAATCTTTTACTTATATGAAAATCAAACGACCGTGCTGCTTTTATACTAGATCTAGGTTTTCAACACCACATCGTGGTTCCGAAAGAACGAATCCTAAATAGATGAACGTTCAACTAATTACGAAAGCGTTTCTTTTAATTATCACATTGGCGAACTTGGCCGTACCGCTTCTAACGACCGCCCACGCGATGACATTTACTCGTACCTCTGGGAAACCAAGTAAAGGCGGAACGCTAATTATTTGTCGATGTTACATATTTAACGGGAATGCGTGGGCAACTAGGACCCCGTTCCAAGTTTTCATTCATTCAAGTTTCGTAACGTGTAATGTATTCGCAATGTGCGCGTGTCAAATGCCTTATCTTTTTTTGTAGGATTTTTTTCGCTCTATGAACGATAAAATCGTACAGTTCTTTGGCACGACATCAGGAACAAAGACTTAATGCAAACATTATGAGTCTAAGATTAGGTAGGACGGGTCTTTAAGGCTGCAACCAAGCCTTCAGTACAGAGTGATCTCGTAATGCGACGAACCGCTTTTAATGGCGAATAACTGCAAGATCAGCGATCGTCTCTGGTAGGTACTCACAAGTTAACGACCTAACACCAATCTCCACCACGACCAACCTGCCCCGAGTGTCAGAATTAGGAGAAGAAGTATAGACTGCTGTCACGTGCAGAAATTTAAAATAATTTAGAACCCTCTTATTGCCGTGGCTTGAAACGCTACTTGACCAAACATAAGTTATAACTAACACGAACTACAATTGTCACTTGTAACACTTTAAAAAAACCATCCAAGTGTGAGTCGGACTTGCGCACGAAGGGTTCCGTACCATCACTACATCACCACATAGTATGAAACAAACTCGTCTCGCTGTCTGTCTGTCCCTATGTATGTATGCTTACATCTTTAAATCTATGTAACGGATCTTGATGGGGTTTTTTGATGTGAAACATCTATAGCCGCACGTAAAACCATTTCTGGAGTGGCGACGCGTGCCGTGGCGACACGTCGCCACGCTATATGATGATATATATATATACAGTCAGTAGTGTGTACGATTAATTATTCAAATTTAAATTAATTGTTAATAATTATTTATTAATTATTAATTAATTAAATTAACTTTAATTAATTGTGTGTACTATTACCGAAGTCACTGATTAAACGAATTAAGTAGTCACGATTTGAAATAATTTCGTAAATTTTTGTATTTAATGAAAATAAATAATCATAATAATAAAAATAAATAGTCAAATAAAATAAATAATAATAAATAGTCATTGTCATCTGGGAAAAAATACGTAATATTTAATTTTATCATTATGACATATTTAGTTCCTATCACAATCTGTTCTTTTCTGCATATTACTTTACAATATAATGTCGATGTTTCACATCTGCCAGGCGTCCCGTGACGGCTCATTTTTTTAAAAAATACAAAATCTGTGAAGGGCGGGGGGGGGGGGGGAATCCTCACCGACGTCGCACACGAGGCTGCCGGGCTCCAACTCAGCCAGGAAGGAGCGGACGGCGGGCGCAGGCGGGCGGGGCGGTTCTTCCGCGTCTCCTGCCTGCTCGTATACGTCGTGCACGTACGCGCGCTCCAGGGAAGTGCCGCGCGCCGCCGTCTCGCCCGCTCCCGCCACCGCGTCCGCTCCCGCCACCGCGCCCGCTCCCGCCACCGCGCCCGCTCCCGCCGCCGCGCCCGCGCACGCGCCATCCGCCATCACCGCACCGCCATCGCAGCACGCTGGAACGCAAACGAGATTAGATTAAAGTACGCGCGAAACGTTTTAATTTTCACACGTTTGAAGTTCGTCCAAAGATTTCACTTAGGAGGCGAATGAGACGGTAATCTCAGTATTACCGTCGAATAGTCATTCGCGCTGTGGTCGAAACTGCTTTCCGTCTTGTTCCTACCACACGTCGATGCATAGTGGTCATCTTATTCGGTTTTGCGTTGAAATAGATTTCTTTGGAGTCAAGGTACATTTGTTAGGCACTTTTGTATTTTTTTGATGCTTTTTATTTGTTGTCATATTCTAAATAAATTGCTGCAGAGTTTGTGTACAGTTTTTATTCGTACAATTTTTTAAAATTGGAAATCGTGATGACGGAATGGAACTAGGTCATCTTAAATGTGTTCGATAAAATAATTTATTGAATGATGTTAAGCAGGTATTGTTTCCTTTAATACATTGCGGAGTTGAGGAAACGGGACAAAGGGCATTATACGAGTACGCAGGCACGCGACCTCCTGACCTGAGCCCGGTTGTTCCCAGTACGTTCCAGGCTTGTATAAGGCATCTTAACTAAACTGCATTGTGCAACTAAAAACAAAACGTGCATATGTGTGTACCTATTTACGCATTTAAGAAGTTATACTTCTTCGGCGTAACAAAATAAAAACAGCCCTAAAAAAATATTTCATATTTAATATTTTATAAATTTAACATTTCCGTTCTAACACTACGGAGTTAACTACTAACTGCAATCATACTAGTATCAATGAACGCAAATATGGCAAATAAACATCGATGTGCGTGTGCATCGTATAATTCACTCTCGTAATTTTTCCCTAATTATATAACTAAACAACTACAAAAATATATATATATATATATTTACAAACTATTCGAATAACCTCTTCTAGTTATGTCCATTACTGTGTTCTTTATTACCATTTCGCTTTATTATCAACCAAATGTTACCTTCGCTAAACTTGGTCATCACAAATTTATTTTTAACTTTATTGTTTTTAAATGTAATCAATGTAATCAAATCCTTAGAACAAAAAGGTATAAGTAAACTAATAAGTATTTCCTTCCAAGTATGCTGGAAGTATTAAGAAATACCCTGGTACTACAGTATAGCCGTGATAGCTCAGCGTCCGGGCGCTCGCCTTTAATTCAATATACTTGAGCAATCTGAGTTCCATCCCCGGTGCCGGCACCAATGAACTTTTTAACTTTAAATGCTGAAATAATAACAAACAAGATATGTGAAGTCCGCACAGTATACTAAATCATTCAAAAAAGCGAACTTTTAACTGCATCGATAAATCGGAATTTCTCTAATTTTCTACTCACATATAAGTATTATGAACATAGTTTTTTATTTGAAATGAGTGGCCACCGAATAAGCAGATCGAACGTTGACACATATAATAGCAGAGATTGTTGCAAGCATGTTGCCGACCATTGATGCCTATTGATTACTCACTGAGCAAAAACGCACACATTTTTACTTCGCGTCGTTTTTTTTTTTTTTGGGCCGTGCTAAATGTAAGCGAATTTTATTTTAAATATCAACGGACATCGTTGCTGTAGTCTGATAGATAGCACTGGCAAGAAATATTAGAGAAGAAAATTCTTTGATTCTTTTTATCTTTTCGAATTTCAAAAAAGGCCTTAGGGCTGTATCAACTGCTAGTAAAATGTAAAAAATGTTTGGATATCTATTATAGTCATTATCTGTTTTCCTCATTGCAACTAGCAAGAGACTGCTACTGTAATGTAAAAGTAAAATAATCTTTACAATCTAAAGCTTCACGAAGATTTACGGCCAAATACAAATCTGTGCAAAGACAAATTGCGCCGTCTATTATTGCAGCGAACAATATTGTAATCGAATCACCCGTGTAGTGAGATGTTAATCAGACTAGCCGACTGGGTATAAAACTTCTCACGTACTCAAATTATTAACAAAATTAATAAGTTAGCTGACAACCCTGTCAAACGTAACGCCATTAATGGTGCGAATCGCAAACCCGAGCAGCTGGCAACCCTGCCGAATCGCCATAAATCCCAACGTTCGCAAAGGTGACTAAACCGTTTCCCCGGCTATTAAATTTACGTTCGCCACTTACGTCGGAATGCGTTCCTGCATTGAAATTCCTCGCAGCTTCTCAAACGCTTTTCCTGCAATTGTGTTCGAGTTTATTGCTGTTAAGTTCGCATTTCCTTTGTTTTTATCCATTTCTAGCTAGATAAAAATAATATATTCATTGTATTTTTTTAAACAGGTGATTTATGATTTGTATGCTACTATTGTCAAACAAAAAAATTCATTGATTTCGTTCTTTTGACTTTATTAAACACTTTCAACTTGAAAGTGCTAAATAAAGTCTATAGTTGTAAAGTTTTTATTACTAGGACTTTCTGATTAATAAAGGCGCATTTCTAAAACGATATTTAGCAGAGAATAATCATGGTCGTTCTATGTAGCCCCTATCATTAAATGAGTTCTATAGTTGTTATGTGTAGAGAATATTCTAGATGCGAATGACAAATATATGAGAAAAGAAATAGTAAATAACGACGTACGGACGAGAAAATAGGACCAAAAAAAGGGAATTAGTATGGATGAAGTCCATAAACACGTTATGGAGGCATCAGTCATCATCCTCTTTGGTAGGTAGTGTTTATTTATTTTTAATATCTTACAATTCAACATGTAAATTTTCGTTTAGATCCTTATTATCTAATGATAAAATTTCTGGAGAATCTATCTCATTCATTTCTTTAAAATAGATAGAAATTAATCCTTTTGCAGCGTAGGGGTCACGGGATATACTAAGATGTTACACGTCTTAATGTCAAAGTTAACCCGGGTTAACTTCCGCCAATTATTTTCTTTTTTTTTATTCCGATCTACGCAAAAGGAGCTTTTGGTATCTTGAGGTCTGGTGCAGTGTTGGTGTGCTTGGGTTTAATTTTATAAATTATGAGATCCCAACTAGATACCAACCATCTTCTCTATTGAAATTAGGGTGTTTCATTATTTCATTAGCCTCGCGGATCATCCTTGGAAGGAATCGGTGTTCTTTTGCGAGGATTTTCGGTTGATCAAATCTAATGTTGATGGTTCGGGCGGTCTAAGATATGCTACAAACGTCGGGAATAAAAATCTAATTAAACGCGATAAAATCCGTAAAATAGTTTAATTTAACAATGTATAGTATTCGCGTAAAAACAAGAAATCATTTTCAGCGCCCTTTGACTTATTGCACCTAACACAATTTCTCTTCACACCCCGGGTTGACTGGTACAGAATGTCAATAGGCATTAAGTCCGCTCTTTGTAATCCCTATTGTAGCTGTTTGTAATAAACAATAAACCGATAACAGAAATAGTCCAGTCCAAAAACCTTGCATAGCCATACAATGTTATAATTAGTAGTATTTGTAAATGCGCGTTCAAAATTACACTTGCAATATATATATAATTGAAATGTTTGTTTTTACGAGACACATTAAAATCTCCAATGTTGCGATGCTGACGTCTCAGACATAACTCTTTATTATACGGAGTCCACAAAAGCCGAGGTCAGAAAACAAGGGGCCTACAAACATGAAGTCTCTATAGGACAGTCCGTTTTTAAAATATGCTTGTGTTTCGCATGACAAGCAAACCAAATATTCGAATGCATTTAGATGACAGTATTGCAACATATGTCAGAATCGTGCAATGAGGCTTTTTAAAAAAAAAAATAATGTTGCTTACCCAAACAGTTTTGTAAAATATTCCATTTTATAAAACGGGAACAATGTTTGTCTATCATCAAATTGAGACTATACCTCAAAGAATAGGTTGAATGGTTCCAATCGTAAAAAGGGCAACCGTGTGGGTCGACGCCGCGTGGGCGAAAACATTATATTAACAAAGTTCAGCTGAAATTCGACCGTGCTCTACGTACACTCCTTTCTTGCGGTTTCCCTTGGCTCTTATAATATTCCTTATATCTTTTGTTGTATTTATTTGTTGAAAGTGAAATATATCTAGTAACGAATACGGGTAGCGCTTCAGGCAAATACACGGTAACTTCTAGTTTTCTTATTTGATTTCTTAAATAGTTATGTATTGGTTAAATTGTTGATTTTGGAGTCGTGTGTCTTGAGTTCTATTCCAGCGTAGGATATCCTTACTCCTTACTAATATTATAAAGGCGAGTTTGTATGTACGGATGTTTGTTACTCTTTCACGCAAATACTACTGAATGGATTTTAATGAAACTATACAATAATATAGGCTATTATTTATATACATACTTTTATGTATATCTGTCTTTCTGTCTGAATGTTACGCCTTTAGCCTATTCTACGCATACGTAGTCGCGAGCAACAGCTAGTTATTTTATATGATTCTCCGAGGACCAACACTCTGGTTACGGATCAGATTGTTGGTCCTTATGACCTTTACATAATGTACAAAACGTTCGTAAATCACAAGATAACCTTATCTTGCAGTAGATGTTATTAAGAATAAAGTTTATAACACCGCTACTATGCTTCTATAGCATACTTTGACGCACAGTGCGGCCATTCAACTTTAATTTTTGTAGTTTTTAGGGTTCCGTACCCAAAGGATAAAATAGGACCCTATTACTAAGACTCCGCTGTCTGTCTGCTGCCTGTCTGCCTGTCTGTCTGTGTGCGTGTCTGTCTGTCTATCTGTCCGTCTATAACAACAAATATTAAAAAACAGAATAAAAAATATTTTAGTAGGGCTCCCATACGACAGACATGATTTTTTGCCATATCATCAGTTATCATAGATAATGGTACGGAACCCTTCGTGTTCGAGTCCGCTTTGCACTTGTTTTTAAACTGTTGGCCCCCGTCCAAACTTGTTTTGCAGCGCAGCAGTCTCTTAATCCGAGTTGCATAATCGCAAGTCAGATTTTCTAAGGTGTATTCACATCTTGTGCACGGATGTACCTTAAAGTGTACGAAATAAATAGCGTGTTTCATGTACTACATTTAACATCGATAGCTACTGGGCTTTCAAATGAAAATATAAACAACAATCACCGTTACTTCTCAGTACTTTATCAAAATTATGTATGTATAGTTAATGTAAAGTACATTTTAATCCTCGAACAGGCATCAGAATGGCAGAGGGAAATATATTTGACCTTGGTGGACTTCGAAAAAGCCTTCGATACGATGAGGTGAAGCTGCATTTGGGACCGATTGCGTGAAATTGGCCCGAGAAAATCACAAACATGATTAAGACCATCTACGGGAAGTACTCCTGTAGAATACATCACGGCCTCGTCTCAGGCGACATACCGGTTCATGTGGGTGAGCAACAGGGGTGTCTTCTCTCTCCTCTCTTGTTTCTCGTTGTTCTGGATGGCATCATGGACAAAACAATAGGCAACAAGCGCCACGGCATAGAGTGGTGACTATCCAGCGTCCTAGAAGACCTGGATTATGCCGATGACCTATGCCTGCTGAGCCACACGCGCGCCAACAAGCAGGCCAAGCTGGACGACTTACAACGAGAGGCAAAGGAGACGGACTGAAAATCAACACCCGGAAGACCCAGGAAAATGAGATGCGGGGCGTCAAGCTCATTGCCGTTGCTCGTTGGCTCAGAAGCTGTGGAAAGAGTTCACACATTCACTTACCTCGGTAGTGAAGTGTCGAAAACTGGAGGAACCGAAGAGGACATCGCTTCGAGAGTCGCCAAGGCAAAAGCAACCTTCGCACAGCTCCGTCCAGTGTGCAAAGTGCAATCGCGGAAATTGAATATTCCGGGCCAACGTAAAAACCGTGTTGCTGTACGGATGTGAGACGTGGAAGGTTACAAAGGACATCTCGCGCCGGCTTCAGGTCGTCGTTAACCGTTGTCTTTGCCGTATTCTTGGTGTTTACTGGCCCGAGAAAATCTCCAATGCAGAACTGTGGGAATGCTGCGATGCGGAGTCTCATCGCAGCGTTCCAG